TTCGTGCCGGTTCGAAACCACAGAGGGACCCGTTTCCGAGCGTCCTATCTTGGGTGATGCCACCGAGTCGGGACTGCTTCGGAATGCTGCTGCAAAGATTAAAGATTTTGACGGGATTTACGACCGATATCCAAAAGTGCTTGAAATCCCCTTCAACTCAGACAACAAGTGGGCCTTGACGGTGCACCGTAAACCTCACGACAAGGGCGACTTGATGCTCTACTTGAAGGGTGCCCCCGAACGTGTCCTCCGCCTCTGCTCCACCTTCTTGCAAGGCAATGAAACTGTTCCGCTGACCGAGGAGCACAAGAAGCAATTTGAAGCTACCTATACCCTCATGGCTTCCAAGGGTCACCGTGTGCTGGCATTCGCGGCCTTGGCCCTCCCCCGCGAGCAATACCCCGCCGACTTTGTGTTCAACAAGGACCCTCCCAACTATCCTACCACTGGACTCACCTTTTACGGTCTCGTTTCTTTGGAAGATCCACCCAAGCACGGTGTACGTGAAGCCATTGGTCACTGCCGAGAAGCCGGCATCAAGGTCATGATGGTGACGGGTGACCACCCGTTGACAGCCGAAGCCATTGGTCGCAAAATCAACCTGATGCTCCAAGACACCAAGGAAAAGCTCGCCCAAAAGCGCAATGTACCTGTCGAAAGCATCCCCGAAAGCGATGTGAACGCCATTGTTATCCACGGGGAGCAAATCGACCACCTGACCGAATCCGACTGGGAAAACATTTTCGACAAGGAGGAAATCATTTTCGCGCGTACGAGTCCCAAACATAAGCTGCAGATTGTCAAGAGGGCCCAATCCCGTGGCCACATTGTGGGTGTGACGGGAGACGGTGTCAATGATTCTCCCGCTTTGAAAAAGGCCGACCTGGGAATCGCCATGAACGTGTCTGGATCAGATGTGTCCAAGGAAGCCGCTGCCATGATTTTGATTGACGACAATTTTGCATCGACTGTATCCGGTATCGAAGAAGGCCGACTCATTTTCCAAAACTTGAAAAAATCGGTTCGGTACACGGTCACCCACACGATGCCTCAAGTCTGGGCCAACCTCTTGTACATTATTGTGCCCCTCCCGCTTCCTCTCGGCGCCATGCTCATCCTTGTCACCGATCTCGGGTTTGAACTCTTTAATGCCCTCAGTTACGCGTGGGACCCCCCGGAAAGCAAAACGGGACTCATGAAACTGGCTCCTCGTAAACCCGTCACTGCAGCCTCTATTGAACGGTTACGCCGGCGGGAACGCGAAGCCGCCGCCGATCGACCTCCCCATGATCCCGAATCCGGTACACCCCCACCTCGGACCTTGTCTGCCAAAATCTCAAACGGCTGGCGCACTGTCAAATCCGTTTTTACCAGACGCTTTTGGCGAGACCATTTCGAGGAAACTGAAGAAGAAGTCCTAGTCGACCGTGAAATTCTCTGCTGGTCCTACCTCGAAGCCGGCACGATCGAAACCATTGGTTGCCTCGCCACTTACTTTACGGCCATGTGGTACTACAAGCGTCTCACACCCTACGAAGCGCAACGCTACGCGGGCCAATGGGGCACCGACGGCCCGATTACACTGATGAACGGCAACATACTCTCCGTTGACGAGCAAAAAGAAGTCAACAATGTCGGACAATCCGGATACTACATGGCGATATTTTTCCAACAATGCTTTAATCTCTTTATTTGTAAAGCCCGCCTTGGACTCCCAATCGGTTCATTCATGTTTTCGAACCGGTACAATTTCGTTGGTATTTTATTTGGGATGGCTTTGGTTTGTTTTGTGGTTTACGTTCCGCCGCTTAATGTTGCGTTTTCGACGAGTTGGCATTTGAGTCCTATCATGTGGCTGATTCCGATTGGGAATGGGTGTTTGTTGTTTGGGTATGCTATTGTGCGGACGATTATTATTCGGATGCGTGAGTTTTTCTTTGTGCTTTTTTTGCGGGTCGTGCGTTCGTTTCTAATTACCTTTTATTTATTTCATAGGGAATCCCATAAAGTACACTCGAGATGTGGTGGGTTTACAAATGTATCCTACCCGCTGGTCGACGCGTGGATAAAGAAATATGCATTACAAGAGAGAGAGAGAGAGAAACGATTACTTTTTGTAATGTGTTTTTACATGTGGGGACATGGATCTGGACTGCTCATAATAGACTTTTTTTTTTTTGTTTGTTTTTCACACACACACAAACACACACACATATATGTTTAGATATTTTTGTCTCAAAGAAATGCACATGTCCATTCTTATAAATATTGGTCAAGAAGCACAAAAAAAAATAAAAAAAGAATTCTTGTCATTCATCGTGCTCTACACTCGTCCCTCCTTGAATCCACCCCTCCTCATCCCCTTCCTCCTCCTCATCATCAACAACCAACACAACCTCTTCTTCTTCTTCTTCTTCCTCCCCCTCCACTACTTGAACAACACTGGCCTCCATCCCAGTAACAACCGAAACCGAATCAAACGACACAAAACTCTCTTCATCATCAGTCTCATCCTGAACCCGCCGCTCACCAACCCGTTCCGCCCAGCCCCGAAAATCAAACCCAAGTGGATCCTCAACATCCGTAAAACTCTCATCACAAAGCAACGCAGTAGCAGTCGGTCGTAAATCCGGATCAATCGTCCAACACTTTTGTATAAACACCACAGCATCTTCAGAGAGTCCAGAGGGTAATGGCGGAGCATTACCCGTTCCCAATAAATAAATAACGTTACCACGGACTTTATGCCATGGTGTTGTGTTTGTAAGCATTTCGAGGACGAGGCAGCCTAGAGACCAGATATCGACTTTGGCGGAATATCCCTTGCCCCGAGCGACTTCGGGTGCCATCCAGGGGATGGAGCCTTGCATGGACATGCGAGTCACGCGGTGGTAGGCTTCGCGGTATTCGTTTTTTTTGGAGATGCCAAAGTCGGAGATTTTGATGATTCCGTCCGTGTCCACCAAAACTAGTTTTACATGTTAGCAAAAAAAAAAACGCCAAAACACGACAAAAAAACGTACTATTGGCCCCCTTGATATCCCGATGAATAATACTCTGCTCATGCAAATACTCCAACCCACTCAAAATCTGCGCAGTCATACACCGAACCAACTCGACCTCAAAAGCTCCATAGCGATTCAAACAACTCGAAATACTCCCACCAGAAACATACTCTAAAAAGACATTAAAACTCGTTTCGGTGATTTCGGAACCAAGGTATCGAACAATATGGTCGTGTTCAAGGTCTTTTAAAAAGTCAATTTCGCGGCGGAGGGCTTCTTCTCTTTTTTTTTTACCGGTTGGGTCGGTTGATTTCTTTTCAGAGAGGATGGCGCGTTCCACTTGTTTTACCGCCATGAGGTCTCCAGTGTCGAGGTTGAGGCCGATAAAGACTTTGCCGAATGCGCCTTGACCGATTAGGCGACCCAATTCGCATCGGATTTGAGGGGGTGGTGTGGGTGCTTTGGGTGTCGTGAGGGGGGGAGAAGGAGTAGCGGGCAGAGGTTTATCTGCGGATTCTTGTGTGGCGTCCTCTTTAGATGGTATGGGTGGTTGAGGGGAAGGAAGGTCCTCCATACCATCCAAAGAAGGTGACGAGACAGATGCCAAAGACGCCAAAGCCTCCCGGCCCCATGACGACCCCAAAAGCGATTCATCCTTGACATCAAGTTCAGAAACAGGTGGTTTGCGTACGGGTTCAGTACCCTCTTCTTCCGGAATGACTTGAACCGGTTTTTTTTTCGAAACCTGACTAAACTGACTGGTTCGTCGTCCAGCCCCTTCGCTTCCACGTCGCGAATAAAACGCTGATCGCCGATTCGCGACTTTGGACATGCGCTTGTTGACCATCGCGGCATGGACTTTACTCTTTATGGTATCCCGGTTCGGTTCCCGGCTGGCGTCCCGTCGGGGTGGAACGACAACAGGGACGCCGCTTTGTGTTTGTGGGGGGATCGTGTAGGGTGGTGTTGGAGCGGGTGCGGCTGCTCGACGTGCAATGCCGGGAAAGTATTGCTCGAGGTGGTCGACAATGAGTTCATCCGGTGGACGCTCGCCGAAAAAGTTTTGGAGTTTCTTTGAGCGTTGGGGTGGGGGTGTACTGGGTACGGGTATGTTGCTCGCCGATGGAGATGGCGTCGATGGCTGTGGAAACTGTTGTTGAAGATCGGAGCGTTTGAGTGTCCCTTGGCCTGAGGACGGCGCAGGAGGGGCCCGCTCACCGAAAAATCGTTGTAGTTTGGTGATTTGTCGGTCAACAGCGAGAGACTCTTGTGATCCGGTTCGTGAAAGGGTGGGGGTTCGGGATGGAAGAGTGTCGGCGCCTTTCAAGACAATGTTGCCGTCTTGAGTCAACATGTGGAGATGGATTTGCGCTTTGACCGGGTTATCGCGTGACTTGCAGATACGAAAGAGTTCTTCGTCGTCCAGTCGATACACTGAGCCAACACTTATTAGCGACAAAGAGGGAAAAACAGCAAAACCATACAAAAAGAAACTCACGCTCTTGATCATCCTCCAAGACCAAATCTGGAGCAAAAAGCGCATAGCGTTCACGATCCCGAGGATCCTTGATACCAAACTTGTTAAATATTCTAGTTTTAATGGCTCCTACGTCTGGCAAATCTGCCACGTCAATAATGTGGGACTGATTATCAATGTCGTTGACTCGGATGCATCTCTGCAAGAGTAGAGGGGTCATTGCTTGCGCACGGAAAATATGTAAATCATCCCCAAACACTCACTGCTAGAATTTGATCCACATTCATCAAATCCTTGTTTCCGCCCTACAAAAGACACCAGTTCATAACGAGATTCCAAAAGCCGGACGACAATATAAAAGTCTTTACCTTATCCCGTGACAGACTATTATCACGCACATGTTTCTTTTCATCATCACCAGATGCAGGACCGGAGAATCCAAATTTGAACAACTCTGCAAAAGGAGATTGTGGTGATCCTTGCATCCCATCCTCTCTCCCAGAAGGTCGTTCCAATCCCGCACTTGCACTCCCATTATTCGCAGCAGAATTCGATTGTACGGGCCGGGATCGATCGAGTGTCGCGCTCTTGATCGACGATGAACGGGGAGTGATGATGAGTGGGGATGGACTTGCCCTGTCCACTGCCATGGCCGCTCCCGTCAGGGACCCTTTGCGTTTAGGGACTCGGCCGGCAATGTCGCCCAAAACATCTGGGAGCGAGAATCCAGGCTTGAGGGGTGTACGTTCGGGGTTGGGAGCGTAAATACGGGGGTCACTGCGTGGTACAGGCATCTCTTCTCCATCACGAGGGCCCAGCGGGGAGGCCATGCCTCGTTCTAAGCTTTTGGACAGGGTAGGATGTTGTGCGGTCGTTGAACTTATTGGCACCGACGGGGAGGGCGAGGGGGCTTTTCCAGGGACAGAGGTTGGGGTCCGGTCCCACATAAAGGATCGGCTAGGTGAAGAGGAGAGTGCTGGTGGTGCGGAAGCAGGGGAAGGTGAACGAAGCATGCCGGATGAACCCTGGGGCACGGATCGCGGTCCTCTCAACTGTTTTTTGATAGCTTGGAGTATTCTCGCCCGGTCGCCAACAGACATGACACCAATGTCCTTTAGTGTATCATAGTTGAGTTCGAGGAGTGCTTGTCCCGTAATGTGATTATCAGCAAATGCGGGACCAAACCGCTCGAATCCATTCTCAATCAACCAGAATCCGACCAACTTTTCGTCCCATTCTCTCACGACGGACGGGGACAATGACGAGAATGGTGAACTGGTCGGTGTAGGAGGGAGAGGGCCTGTAGGTGCGGGTGTAGGTGGAGCATCGAATGAACGACGGGGAGTCGGGGATGCGGACGCCGTCGCCGAGTCCGGGGCCCGGTGCAATTGGACGACTTGCGACTGGAGCGTCGGCGGCATCTATTACAATAAGTGAGGATGGAGCTGTCCGAGTTGCTTTCTTTTTTATTTTGTTGTTATTTACACTGGGCAACTGGATCAGCGATGCTGTAAATAAAAAATCAATGTCCTTTTAGTATATTTTCCGTAGGCCGTCCAACCCTCCAAACTCAACAAACGAAAGCGGAGCGACGAGCAAAATCCACGTGGTTGAGAATCGTGGTCACGACTTGCTCTTCTACTTGATCCTACTGAGAGTGGAGAAGAAGAAGGAGAGCGTTGGTCGATTCACCCCCTCGCACGCACGCACGGCAACATTCAACAAGAAGGGATCCAACAAGAAGTAGAGAACTGGATGTCACATCAACGATCCTTGTTGCTTGCATGTGCTAGTTGATGATGATGTCCAAAACAAAACTATCCTCAAAAGTGCACGAGGTAAAAAGGGCAACTAGATATACGCTTTCCACTTGCAATTCTCCCTATTCATTTTCACGTAGAATCAAGTGATGGCTCAAAGGACAGCAACTTTCTAGCACAACACACACACACAAACAGCAATCTACTCTTATGGCTATAAAAACCGTTCAAATCCTGTGAGGGATCTAAAAAGGACGACAGATCTGGCCTAGTCGCTATGAATCTGCTCTGTTTACTGGCAATTCCATTCTTTTGCAAAAGCATACAAGCCTACACAATAAACAGCCCAGCTCGAACCCCGCCAACGGGCACAGTGGACAGTGCTCACAATCACGCAACACAGTGTGCACACATGCGCAATCTAGCACTCCTGCACACAATGCACTCTCCAGTCTCCTTGACCTCCTCAAGACTCGCATGCGCACAAGCCGCCGTGCGCACGAAAATGCACCAAACACAAACCCACCAAGCCCAGATCCAAAAATCGTTGCACACTGGCGGCGAGCACTAGTCATCACGTGCATATTGATTATCAAAGTCTTGCATAATCATCTCATTTCATCTTTATATGGTTAACTCAAATGCTTAGCTATTTTTGTTTTTTACGAGTATCTGCAGTTTGAAAAGTGTGCTTGGCGGTTGTCGAAGCACGGAAAAAACAGAAAGCATGGCACGACGAAAACGCACCCGTGTTCAACGCACGGAACCTCAGCAGGACGTAGACTATCGCAAAGGGGCTTCGGCAGACTTGCAGGACCTTGGTCTCGATTCAGAAGACGAGTTTCATGACCAGAGGGAAAAGATCACTCTTGACGAGAGCCTCTGGAGAGGACGTCGAGGAGAGGAGGACGAAGAAGGGGATGAAGAAGTTTTTGGGTTAGATGTGGGTGACTCGGATGAGGAGGACGAGGAGGAAGAGGAGGACGAGGATGAGCAATTGTTGAAAAAAGTGCGTCAAAGCCTGCGAAAAGGGGCAGAAGACAGTGAGAGCGAGGGCGAAGAGGATGAGGAAGGGGTCAAAAACCGACGCACGCGAGGGGGGGATGATGGTAAGAACATTTGATGCACACAGAGCTCAGACCCGGCCCATTGTGACATGCGTTTGGGTTCTAGAATTTGATGATCGGGCGTGGGGAAAGTCGAGGAAAATGTACTATGACGCTGACGAGGCGAGCGATCAAGAAGATGGTATGCATTCTTTAGTCTGCCTTGTCATCTTTCCCTGACTCCCTCATACACTGTATTCACATCATCGTTCTACAGCCAAGGAAGAAGAACAGGAAGCACTGCGCCTGCAGAAACTACGGGCCAGCCAAATCCGCGAGCAAGATTTTATTGACGACTTTGCAGATAGCTTCCTCAACCGCCTCTCCTCTGGTGCCGGCGAATCGTCAACCGCAGTGCACCTCGACAAGGATGAGCAAGATGATGACCTGGACCACCTCGCCATTTCCACTTCCCTCCCTCTTCACCTCCTCCCCTCAACACAAACAAAGGTGGAAGTCGTTTCGCGCGACGAGAGCAAGCTTTCCGTCGAGGAATTGGAAAGGATTGCAGAATCGAGTATACCTGATGTTGTGCAGCTTTTGGGGGAATTTACAGTTAGATGGGAAGAGTTGCGAGACGTTATTGGACCCGCGTTGAAATGGCATTGTCGGCCAGAGAATGCGATACGGACGGGACACAAGGGTGAAAGAGCCAGACAGTATCTGGAACTCAAATACCGTAGGTACCGTCTTTTATGTCCATGTGCTGTTCATGTATTAACACCTGGATGACCCTACGCCAGGCATTCTCGTCACGTATCTGACCAACATATCATTTTATCTCTCCCTCCGAGCCAACCCACCTCCAGGCTCAAACATCAAGGCTCATCCCGTTGTAGAATCTCTGGTTCAAATGCAGGAATTCCTAAGTGTTCTCGAAACCAAAGTGGAGGGCCGTGTATCGGACGATGATAGCGAAGGGTCCGATGAGGAAGGCGTACGGAGAAAAAAGAGACGAAAGAGGCGCCAGCAGGTGCGGGGTCTGCCTGGACTGATGGCAGACGTGGAGAGCTTGCTTGCGAACGGGGTAGATGCTATTGCCGATGAAGAGCAGGATTTGAGTGCGGAGGATGATGCAATGGACATGGCCGAACCCGTCGATCCGGTCCCATCCAAACTCGGAAAAAAGAAAACCCAATCTGGTACTCAAACGAACGGCAGCATTGAAGCGACGGAACCACCATCCAAGAAGAAATTTAAAGCCATCTCCATCCCCGAGGTAGAGTTTGTTCCTCTCTCCAAACCAAAGAAATCCCGCGTCAAATCAATGAGCAACGATTTCGGAGAATCGAACGACATTGACCTAGTAGATTTGGAAGACAAGTTGGCGAGGAAGAAGAGTCTAAAGTTCCATGTTACCCGCGTCGATCAGGTATACATTGTTGACTTTGGATTCATACCCTCCTGGTTACTAATTGTAGTACATGCGCGTAGGCCATTGCGTCCCGCCAAGCGCGCCTAGCACGGTCAGCAGGCGGAGACGAAGACATACCTTACCGTGACCGCAATGGCAAAGTCATCCAGCCTGCGTCTGAGCGACCAACTCAAGAAACCATTCCCGCGGATCTGGATGACGACCAAATGGGCGATATGGCTGGTGACTTTGGTTTCGGGTTGGATGATGATCTCTTGGACAACATTGGGGCGGAAGGCGAAGACGACGAATATGATTTAGGTCAAGACAAAACGCGCAAACGCCGCCATGCGTCTGACGAGGAATCAGACGCCGACGAAGAGGAAGACCCGCTGGCATACTACGAGCACGTCAAGCAAAGCAAGAAAGCTCGCAAAGAGCAGCGTGAAGCAGAAGTCATGCAAGCGAAATTGGATAACACGCTCGACGATAGGTATGGATGTCCCTTTATTTAGCTTTGGTGCAAAATACTCATGATCATCATTACCAGCCATCTCTACGACGAAAATGACCTTGGCGAGGGCGCAAAACGTCCAGCATCCTACAAGATCATCACGAACAAGGGTCTCACCCCGTACCGCAAAAAGGAACGACGCAACCCACGTGTCATGAAACGACTGCGGTACGAGAAGGCTGTCAAGCGGCTGGGAAGTTTCAAGAGAGTTGCCGTGGACAAGAGCAGTTTGGGAGCTTACGAGGGAGAAAAGACGGGTATCAAAGCAAATTTGGCGAGAAGTGTCAGATTTGCTGCATAGAGTTTGTTATATTTTGGGATGCACTTTTTTCTTTTATTTATTAGGGTTAGGGTGGATAGATTTCAGCACGTTTTACATATCTCTGTGAATGGACGAGGTTTCCGGATGGTGAGCATCATCCCTTTATGCATGGTTTTAAGCATAAATTGCAAACGTTGGCGCGTGCTCCAAGAGTTGCGCATGAGGCATGTACTTGATATATCAAGGTTCAGTCGTTTTGACCATTTACCAGGCATCTGGGCTACATAATACGGAATGTCACTGACTTTTACATTTTGACTCGTTGTAATGACAGCTGAAGTGAATCATTTACAAGCTGATGAGTTAGATTGCCCATTTTCCGCCTGGATCTGTGGGGGTAAATCGAGCCGCTTTTGGTACATACATCTTGTAGCTGCTGATTTGAACCCGAGTCATTAAGCAAGATCAAAGTGGGGAAAACGGAGGAGGGTTTTTGTTAACCGTACGAGAGCGCATCATCATCATCAAGCATCAATGGCAATCTATTCTTGAACCTGATTGGTAAAAATGACAATCTAAACGAGGCCAACTGTAAGGACAACAACCAAAGAAATCTGTTCCAAAACCCCCAACCCCAAAAAAAAAAAGAGAAAACATTATCGGAAGCCGTCGTCCTCCGCTTTCCACGGCTGTTCGCAAGCGCAGAGGGCGATTGCGCGCACCCAAATTTTTTACCAACGCTTCCCGACTCCAAACTAACCCCATTTTCTACAATCGCTTTTTGTTACGACTCCATTGATGGACTGGCAACTATGGTCGATTTATCTGTTTTGGTTGGGTTGGGGCGGTTTTTTTTTTTGTAAAGCAGATCAGCCGTCAAAGTGGTGGGGCCTTTTAAGCAAGGAGAACTGGCTCCGTTTTTTTTGCTTACTATGTTTGCGCCATATCTCCTCGTCGATTGCAAACATTCTTGGGCCAATAATGATGGTTAAACAATCAAAAAATATCTTAAAAAAAAATTGTGGAGGACATGTTGCTTTTAGTTTGGACCTCCTGCTTAAAAGGAGCAGTTGTGCTAATGCATCCGCCAGATCTGAGCTTTGATTCCGGTCTTGACCGCCCATCGTCTGTGTAGTTTTTCCCGTGGACAGCGCACAGGATAAACCTGTACTTATTCACTGGATTTCCAAATAACAAAAAATGTCCACAAATACGTTGGCGGATACGGAAATTGTGCGGGACGGGGAACTGACCAAAGAACTGCCACCTGACAATCTGAACGAGAAACCTCATAAACATGAAAGTGTTTTCGAGGGTGTCGAGGATTCACGTAGGTTGATAGGAAAACATTGGGTATTATGGTATGCTGATTTGTTGCTCGCGTTAGCGATCGAGGAGGTACGAGCTGCGGTTCCTCCGACAGACAACCCGGAGCTTCCAACAAACACCTTTCGAGCATGGTTTCTCGGCATCTTCTTCACTGTTATATTATCGTTCACCAACCAGGTAAGGGCGTCGGCTTCGTATGTCAATTGAAATCTACTTGGCATTTGCTAACGCTGTTTCGTTATCGCAGTTCTTTTGGTTCCGAGACAATCCACTAACAATCAAAATCCTTGTTGCCCAACTCATCTCCTTCTTTTTCGGAAAATTCATGGCGAAAATCCTACCCGCCGTCACCATTCCCATCCCATTCACATCCAAAGGAATCAATCTCAACCCAGGGCCTTTCAATGTCAAAGAGCATGTTTTGATCACCGTTATGGCGAATACGGCAGCCACTAGTTTTGATGCCATTGACATTATTGTGATTCAAAAGTTGTACTATAATGTGGTAGGTGATCCTCTTATTTTGGACGGCCTAATTGAGGACCGTTGGATTGAATCTTGCCATTTTTTATAGGATTGGGGATACTTGGGCGGGCTTCTTCTTGTACTGTCGTCGCAAACGATTGGATACGGCTTTGCTGGACTGTTGCAACGGTTCCTGGTTCGTCCGGCTACCATGGTATGGCCCGAAAACCTTGTCAACGCTAGCTTGTAAGTAGTCAGACGGTCCTGCATTTTAAGCGTCTCGCTGGAAACCAACATTCCCTTTATCAACAGGTTCCACACCATGCATCGACAACGAGACGCAGAAAGCCGAGTGTCAAGCAGAGGACGAAGTCGAGGAAATTACTTTCTCCTCGTCTTTATGGTGTCCTTTATCTATTACTGGTTCCCGGGGTACATTGCCCCTATTTTGACCTCCATTTCATGGCTGTGCTGGGTAAAGAAGGACTCTATTGTTGTTTCGCAGTTGGGAAGTGGGTTGAGCGGTTTAGGGTAAATTTGGGTTCTCCTTCGTTCTTGTCAATGGTATGCGTCTCATTAGTTTGTCGTAACAGGTATGGAGCATTCACGCTGGATTGGTCTACCATGGGCGCATGGATGCCATCGCCATTGGCTGTACCGTGGTATATCATCGCCAATCTCTTTGCTGGATTCCTCTTCTTCATCTGGATCCTGGTACCCGCTGTCTACTACACCGACGCCTTTGAGGCGAAAAAGTTTCCAATGTACAATACTCGCCAATATGACATCTATGGGTCAAAGTTCAACCTCTCGAGGGTTATTGAGAACAATGTATTGAATTCAACTGCCTATGAGGTAGGGTTTGCGTCGAGCGGAATTGCGGTAGTTACTCTGATCATTCTGACATTGGTTTTAAATTCCACAGGAATATAGTCCGATTCGGATTACTGCGTTCTTTGCCATTTGCTATGGCCAAGGATTGGCGGCTCTGGGTGCCATCATTGCTCACACAGCATTGTATCACGGACAGGATATATACAAACGTCTTCGATCTGCCAAACAGGCTGATGACGGTAAGAGCGCTGGATTGCGCCATTTTTCATATAAGGCCTATTGCTAATATGTTCAAGACAGACATCCACGCTAAGCTAATGGACCGATACCCCGAAATTCCCGGCTTTTGGTACCTCATCATCTTTGTCATCGCATTAATTCTCTCTATCGTTACGATTACCGCATACCCGAGCGACATGCCTTGGTGGACGCTCTTTATTGCGCTGATCCTTGCCGGGGCATGGATGATTCCAACGGGTATTTTGACGGCCATAACCGCGCAAGCACCGTCGATTTCAATGATCACCGAATGGGTGTTTGGGGTGATCAGACCGGGGCATCCGATTGGCAACATCATGTTCAAGACTTACGGCTACATTACCGTGAAGCAAGCGTTGCTGTTTTCCAAGGATATGAAGCTGGGGCATTACATGAAAATGTGGGTTACCGTCCCTTTTAAACCTGACATGTAACGCCGTTCTCATCTTTTCCTTTCACAAAAGTCCACCCCGAGACATGTTCAACTTTCAGATCGTAGGCACAGTCATTGGGTGTCTCGTATCTCTCTCCACCACCCACTACCTCTTGAATAATATTGACAACATCTGTACGGACGAAGCCTACCCATGGACGTGCCCAAATGCTGGGCTTTTCGGAGCATCGAGTGTGGTATGGGGTGTCGTCGGCCCAAACCGGTTCTTTGAGCCAGGAACATTGTATAATCCAATCGCGTGGTTTTTCTTGGCCGGGTTCTTGTTGCCGCTGCCGGTTTGGTTGGCATACAAGCGGTGGCCAAACAGTTGGCTGAAATATGGTAAGTCGGTGAATTCTGTACGGTGCGTGAGTTGGAACATATAATAACGTATCAAAACAGTCAATGTCAGCGCAATGATGTTGGGTGCCGGACCCTACCCTCCCGCCCCGACCAATGTCCTCCCAACATGGACTGTTATCGGCTTCATATTCAACTTTTACATCAAGCGTCGACATAACCGGTGGTGGGTAAAGTACAATTATATCACCTCTGCTGCATTGGATGCAGGTGTAGCGGTCTGTGCAGTGGTCATGTTCTTTGCGCTACAGAACAATGATGTCCACTTTCCGGCTTGGTGGGGGAATGATAAGGCGAGCATTGACCAATGTCCTTTGGCCAAAGTGAATTCCACTGGTATCAACGTATATGGATGACCTTTACCATAGTTTTACGTAGATATTTAGATTTAGGTTGCTGTAGCTGGAAACCACTTGTACAAAAAAGAAGAATAAACAAAAGAATCCAAGGTAGATGGAAAACCCCCTCCAACGATCCTGCTGACTCCATCTCCGACAGCACGTGACCCATTTGACGTTGAATGACTCCACCTCCCAAATTACTATAAATAGTAAAATTATAATGGCACAGTCACTCGCTAATTTTAGCCGGAAGGGGGAGGAAAGAGATGGTCGATGGGCGGGGGAGGCGAGGGAAAAGGTGTGAAAGGGCTTACGATAACACTCGGCTGTCGGCTGTTCGTCCTTTGGAAGTGTCGGCGACATTTGGGTTTAACTTTTCGCTTGCTGCTGCTTGCTAGCATCGCTTGTCTTAGCAAAGGAGTGTTCACGGCCGACCAACACCGATACGTGGACGATAAGAGATATTGGGGACAACTAGGGTTGCATAGCACACTTTCTCCATCTCGGTTTCATTACTCTTTTCGTTTAACGAAACACACCGCTTGCAAACTGTCTTCACCGCACAAGCCCTCCCCGTGGGAAGCAAGGTTAAGGGAGCCAAAGCGCAGACCCATCAGTTCGCATTCTCCGTCATTCTCTCCTTCTCGGAGCAGGTTCCACAAAGGAGGTGAGTTTTGGTGGCGACTGCGGGACTCTGTTTTTTCGAACGTTGTCTGTTAAACTAGGTTATCTTGGGTGTTTGTAGATGAGAACAGAATGGTAGAACCCTCGTCATGTGCCTTTGGAAAGTCGGACACCGATTCCAACATCATGCCCTCACTCACGAACTCTCTTTCCTCGGCGTTTGTGCTAAAGCCGTTCCCGGCGGCGTCGAAAACCGTTCTCACTTATCAGCACTTTCGGGTGGAAATGCATTCTGACGATGCCAAGGATAAGGTCTTTCTTGCCATCGTTAAAGCACTTTTGCGACAGGGGAACAGGCCGTGTACGCCGAAGGAACTTAGCAATCTTATTTTACGCCACAAACTGACGACTTTGGGGTATAGATTGTTATTGGGAGTGGTTTTGCTAAAGTATCTCAATTAACCATTCCTTGTAAACTTGCAGTGGTGCAACACCATACGCAACCGTCTCCTCCCGAATATCGCAACATTTCAAAAGAGCAACGGAGCTGTCTCGACCGCCTTTACTTGGGAGACGATCGCTGGATGAACGAAACTCTCGACGGCTTGTGTATTATGTCGACCAAGTCGGCGTCCCTGTCAAGCCGCTGGACGAACTAGCACACTCAGAGTCAGACGAATCGATGGATGTTGGGGATCATTTGAGTGATAGCTTTGTGTCGTCTCTTGCGTCGTCTCCTGTCTTAGCGCCCGGATCCATCGATATATTATCCGGCGCTCATGGGGATACGGGCATATCGAGTAGTCTCAAAGAAGGTGCCGGTGGAGGAGCGGACGGACCCGCGACGCCTTTGCGTGTATCAACAAGAGTGAAGCGCCGAAGAAGTCCATATTCACCACCAGATGACCAGCAGAGCAAACGCAGCCGGAGCGCTAGCTTGGCATCTGCTGTGACACCGATAGTGTCCCCTTCGTCAGGGACTGGGACGGACGATATGGATAAGCCTGTAATCCTGGTGGAGGACGTAGAATTGGTCGATCTGAGCACCCCTGCCGCCTCTAGACGATCATCCGTCGTAGATGCTTCTGTACCAGAGGTAGGTGCGAATATCGAGCCTGATTCAATAAAGAACGAAGATCCCACGACCGACTCCGAGCAGGATTTTCACGAGGATATGATGAAGGTAGACGGAGAATACGGCTCAGGTCGCTCTTATCAGCCTGCACGCTTGATTCCATCGACTCCTTCTACATATCGACAACGGGTATCGAGCGACGAGTTCCTCTTGAAGCCTATAACTTCCCCCCAAATACCCTCGTTTCAGTCCTCTCTTCCATCAAAATTGTCCCCCTCTCGTCCACATTTGGGGTTTGAGCCAGCCGACCATACAATCCCATCACCCTTTTTCGATCCGGAGGTCGACCCACTAGGGGTTGAAGCACATGAATCGAGAGCAGGACCTAAAGCCGAAAACTATTCTGATTTGCGTATGTTTGATGTGGGTATCCACGAAGAGTTGGACTATCACGAATTCCATCATCCGGAAGACATGAGCGTATCTGAGCTGGATTTGTTGTTGAGAGAGGATGAGGGCAGTTGGGGAGTACTTGGTGGGGTCACACCTGGGCAGTCGCCGAGAAAGCGTCCTGCGGAAAGCCTGGCACCAACACCAACGCGGATGAGAGACTCCGTGGTCACTCAGCGTCAGGACGCTGGTAGTGAATCGGTACAAGTCGCAAAAAAGAGGAAAGTACAGCCTGCATGCGAAGGGTCTGTGAACGACACTGGGTTGAAAAACGATAAGAGCGGAGAAGGAGATGGTGATGCATCAGGACAGTCAACCAAGAGGCCACCTGTGACTGCAGAGTCACACGCCTCTACATCTGTATCTCAGCAGTCCGCATCAACCATCCCGGAAAACAAACAGGACTCTTCGCCTCGGCAAAATTCAACTGAGCAGTCTCGATCAGACAATGTGGAAGATGCAGCCACAGATCACCTAAGTACAACCATCTGCAACCAGGCGGTTAGCCATACACCTTCACCACCACGCACTCCTCGGAACGACACTCCGTCTGACCACAGCCTGCCAAGCCGATCTCATTCAGCGCTGTCTGTTGCATCCTACCGATGTAACGGCGATACCCTAGAACTATACGAGAAAGCCCATGATCCCATTAGCACCCGGGTGAGCAAAATCAAATCAGCACCGCGAATGGAGCTAGTCCTACGAACTCTACATGTTGACTCGTTGGGACGAGCAATTTTGAAACCTCCGAGTGACAATGAACCGGATCGAAAGGTTGGGATACGTATGAGGGGATATGTCCGAGCTAGGGAGTTATTTGAAGTCGCCCCTTCTCAGGATGTTTCAGTTCCAACTTCGCCAGAGGTCAAAGTCGAAGACGAGGATGGAGAAGATATTGACATGGAGGACGAGTCTGTGTGGGTTGCCTATACTGAAGAAGTGCGTCGGCGGGCCGTTGGGCCACGAACGGGGGATGAGAGTGCGGTTGTGAGGATTGTGGGTGAGAATGCGCCGGGGTCTGAGACTGGACATGTTCTCGTTGTCCTGAAAGGATCGGACGTCGAAGGGGATGGTTTGGTACCTGTGGAATGTGGAGGAGTATGGTAATGATTTTATTCACGCTGTATTGCTGTCAGAACGAAGGCGACTCACAGCTCTACTTACTTTACAGGATACCTACATCGGAGGCTCGGCGACTGGCTACTAAACTTGGCGTGTCAGCACAATTCAACGAACTGCTGGACATGGGAGACGAAAGCAATAATGGAGAAATCGAAGTTCTTCCATCATTCTCCACATTAACATCTCCAAAGCTCCCGCCTCTACCATCAACTCCTACGCGCCCATCTGCTCGAAGTCTCCCTTCTCCCGCGTCAACACCTATTCCTTCTGCACTATCTAGTAAAGTTCCCGATGCAAGTCTTGGTCCGGCAATGTTAGAAGATGACATGGAAGTCGATGAAGGGCACGATTTTTTGGTGTTTGAAGGTGATGAAGAGTGGAGCCATGATGAGAGCAGCGCTGTGACTGGAAGCGAAGGGCCTGAATCTAATGTTGTCTCCAACGGCGCTATGGAGAAGCTACCAGTGACCATTGATCATTCAACGCTGGAGCTTATAGCGCCAGTCCAGCCTCCACCAAATTCAACGCTACCATTATACATGGCGACAATTGACGGAGTCTTAGTGTACATAACGTGGTTGACCAAGGGTTCCGACGGAAGTATCGCTCCTACTCCTGCAAGAGAGATATCGGATCCTTTGGAGAGCTCTCCCGCAGGGTCGGAGGAATCTGGTGCAGCGACGCCCCCATCAGCGCCCGCGGCGCCCACATCAGGGCCAACATCCACCCCACCACCAGTCCCCCCACCACCCGGTTCATCGTCTGCTGTTCCCTTGCTTCGTCGTGTGGATAATAACATGGTCAACGCGACCCTCCTTTTACACGCCGGAGGTCTTGTCACCGATAAAGAGCGGAGCATAGTATTGTCACTAGAGCGAGGTCGAGCGCGATGTCGTAAGAAGGGGAGTGGATTATATGGCACGTGGATTCCGCTCGCGCGGGCACGTCATCTCGCGAGAAGCTTTTGTCTCGAGAACCGATTGAGTTTGTTCTTGAGTGACGGATTTGGAAGAGTCGTCTTTGGCGTCGATGGTGTAAACGGTGCCAGAGGGAAGGCGAAATTGGCCAACGATGACGCGAGCGGGAGTGAGGGTACCCCCGTAGCGGCGGACGGCAGCGGTTCGTCAGTGGACGCAGGAAGTGAGGCTGGGGACTCATCATTTGTAGATGGGGCTGCGTCGAATTTGACCCCTGCAGCTGCCGCGTTGGCGGCTAGCAAAGCAGCAATGCTGGGCCTGACATCGTTACCCCCTAACGTAGTGTCTGGTTTAGCAAGCATAGGGGCCGGGGGAGGAGCGGCTGGGATAAGGGGATTGATGGCTAATAGAGGGAGAGCAAGAGGCAGGCCACCCTTGAAGCACCATCCTATTTCTGGTAGAGGTTTCATGAATGTGGGGCGATTAGGAGCCACTCTGGGTAGCTCGCCATCTTACACTCCCAGCGGGACGGGAACCAATGTGTCTACGACCCCTACATCTTCGGCGATGGCGGCGACTCAAGCGGCGATTGCGGCGTTATCAAAGCTAGGGGGTAATGGACCTTTGACAGCAGCAACTCTTGCGAGTGCCTTGGCTGCATTGAATCAGGTCAACCAGCAGAATATCACGGCTGGCAAAGTAACGACTCCGGGTTCCAGTCCATCAACTCCCACAAAACCGGCTTACGCCACTGGGACATCTCCAAGCCCCGCAACAACAACAACTGCTACATCTAGTTCCACTGCACCAGCAGCATCCGGCATCCCCACACCTGCTAGCATTTTGGCAGCATTTACCAATATGCTAAAGAACGGGTTCCCTGGTGGATGGAAACCTGCAGGCGCGCCCTCGATAAATACATCCACAACGTCCACCACATCTGCACCACCGTCTTCTGCGAGCAGTTCCATCACCTTCCCTTCGTCGTTGAAAGTTGATCCCAAACCTGGAGTTTCCTCTTCTCCTTTATCCACAACACCTGTAACTACTCAAGGCGTCGTGGCGAGAGCACTCGCCGCTGCTGGAGCAGGTCGTGGAGGAGGTTTATCTGGAACCGGATTATCCAATCCCGTATCGATCCAGACAAATGCGTTGGCAGGGCTGCCTAATTTGGGTAATCTTGGGGGAACCAGCTTTTCGCTCTTGCCGTTCACAATGCAAAACAGTGGAAATAACCTGTCGTTGGCCACATCTACGACGTCCACCTCGGCAACATCCTCTACTGGAATAAGTATTGGAGGCATCGACGGTCCAACTCCCGCTCTTCCTCTCTTGACCCCTCCCACTGTCCCCATCATTGCTATTGATGATATTGATGGCGGTGATGCAAACATGCCGATTGCAAGTCCTGCGGCATTGGCTGCGGCAGCTGCCGCTGCCGGTGTTACCTTACCAGTGGGTGTGGAGTATGTAGAGGAGGAAGAGGAGGAAGAAGATGAGGAGGAGGTTGAGGAGGTTACAGAGGAACAAGGCGAGGCGGAAGACGAAAACGAGGGAGAAACGGCGCAAGGGGGAGGAGGAAAAAGCCGACCTGGCGCGAAAGCAAACGGCACGACCAAAATCGAACAAGAAAACGAGTCAGATGAATCCGATGAACCCGACAATCAAGATAACGATGCAGACGATGACGACGATGATAGTGATATTGAAATTGTTAAATCTAGCGGAGGCAAAAGCGCACCTTCTCGCTCTGGCGGCAAAATCCGACCCCGTGCCGCCGTTCCCCCTACGAGCCGTCGAGCCCCATCCACAAGTGGTAAATCCCGTGGTGGATCGACGGGCATGGCAACGCGCTCCACACGAAGCGCTAGTACGCCCAACACAAAAGCACCACGGCGACCACCGCCAGCACCTAAAAAGGGGAGAGTAAAGAGTAAATCTAGAAGAGGGGCGACGACCATCATTAACCACTCAAATAAACACAGCACCGTTGTCAACAATGGGGATGTGGGTTCTGAGGAGGGAAGCGATTTTGAGATTGATGTGGTGGATGGAGATGGTGTGGATGACTTTCGGTGAAAGAAAGAAGGGGGTCGCTCTGTTTTTCGTCTTGTTTATATTTGTCTTTTTTTTTGAAAGAGTGGAGAGTCGGGCTTTGTTGTAGTAGCGTCATCAGCTCCGTTCATTTTTTTTTTCTTGTGCAATATGATATATAATGTAAACTTCTGCTCTTTGGAAAAGCCCTATCCTATCATTTTACTACTTGTTTAACATGAAAGATACTAGAATTTGCCTATACAACACTACTTTCTGGCCTTTTTCAAAGCTTTTCTGATTTTATCCTTTTTCTTTTCCATCAGTCCTTTGGGGTCAACTACACCTGTCTTGTCACCACGGACTTTGGCCGCCATTTCCGCCGCCACCGATGTTGCTGGGTCCAGTTTCCGTTTTTTGGAGGATGGGACGTTGACAATTGTGGCTTTGGCATTTTTGGGGAGTGCGAGGTCGGTTGTTTCTGGGATGGCATACCTGTGCATAAAACTAGTCAGACGACAATGATCACAAGATGGGATTTAAACGAAAAAAAGGACATACTTGTCCATATCCAACGAGTCCAAAACTCTCCTCTGCTCCTCCTTTAATCTATCCATAACACTCTCTTCACCCTCCTCCAAGTCCTGTTGCAACGACACGGTAGTTGGATCCCATTCTTCGTCGTTGGTAATGTCTCTTTTTCCATTAGCCTGCTTTTCTTCGTGGTCCACGTCCATGTCATTTGCATCCGTGGGCTGGGCCATTTCAGTGATGACAGTGTTTTCCACAGCAGATGTAAGAATTTGGTAGGATTTGCGGACCAGTTTGCCAAAGAGGGCCAACAACTGCGACGAAGGAAGGTCCAGCTCTTTCTCGAGGTCAGTGATGGATTTACGTTGTAGGCCTGTTGCGGCGAGGAGAGTTGCTTGGACGGGTGAGAGTTTGAGTCTTGTGTCGTCAGATGCCGCTGTTGAGGAGAGGAGACTGAGGAAGTAGGTTCGCGCGAGGGTGGGGAGGAGGTCCATGATAACGTGATAGTCGAGGAGGTTGTTCGTGTAGGATTCAAGACGCTTGAGGTCCCATGGTGAAAAATGGCGGTAAACTTCTTGGCTGTTGGTCAATGGAGGTGTGTATGGCGATGTCGCTGATGCTCGGTCTTTGAATGCCCCCGCAGCTTCTAGGACGCTCAAAACGAGAGTCGAGGGGAAATCTCTGAACCCGAATCCAAGAAGCTCTACAAACCGTCTACGGAAATCATATGCAAAGGCATCCAACCAGGCTTCATTGGAAATCTTGACGTCAGATCCTGATCTGTCCAACTTTTTGAGCATCACGCAAGTATGCTCGCCAGTGAGGTCGTTTGGTGTTTGGCGGAGGTAGACAGGGGTAAATCCGGCTCGTTTCCAGAACTTGTGGAGGGGTGCCGTGATTCCATACGACACACCAAGCCAGTGAAGGTGTTCCCGCGGTGGGCGTTCGGACAGTTTGAGGAGAAGAGGGGGCATCGTCGCTGGATCGCGGACACGGATATCGTCCGTGGCTAGTGTATGGGATTCTAAATCATCGTCTGTAACCCGCGTGACGGACTCTGGAACTGCTGTATCGTCGCTTTCGGAGAGTGAAGCAACCTGGCCGTTGTAGTAGTCTTGCAGGAGGGCAGTGGCGCGCGCACCGTATCCCATCCCAATGTAGTCTGGATGAGTTGCAATGCGAACCACGCGGGCTCCCGAGAGGGTTGCAAAGTCGTCATCTTGGAATTGTTGTGTCACAACCCACGGGATGAGATCGCCAGAGGCGCGAACACCTTTGGCCAGCGATGAGAGCGCTGCCCCTTTGGCGATAGAGCCTTCCAGACACACTTGAACAACGCAGAGCGGTTCTGGTAATGTGGTGGCACGGGCCTCGTCGACGGGTGGTAAGAGAACAAAAAGATGGTGCGCTGGGGCGTCGCTCATAAGCTGAAGATCGTTGGGCGTGTTTTTGTAGTGGCTCGCAACGTAGAGGGACATCATTTTCTGGAGGAAGGCTTCCGAAACGGGGTGGAAGCTGAACAATGTATCACGATTCACATAGTAGAGCTCGCACTTTGAGGGGTGCGGACAACCAGCGGGCATGCGAACTTGTTTGGTGTCGGGATTGCAACAGTCCAGGCACAATAAGCGGTTCAGCCAAGACTCTACAGGATCGCCGGCACCATACCGGATAGGCTCGTCGAGCTTGATTTCACGCAAAACTCGGTTGCCAATGACAGTAGGTGTGCTGGCTGCATTGCCAGTAGTTGACTTTCGTTCCTTTCCATCACGGCCCACGACCATACCGTTCCCAGAGGTATCACCCTTTGCTGAAGTAAACCCTCGGCTCTGCTCTCGAAGCTGGTTAAGGAGCTTGAGAGACAGGGACCGGCCAGTGCCTTCATATCCATTGATCGTCGATGCCATAAACACCAAATAGGGGCCCAAAAGATTCTTTACTAGCGGTAGTGGAATGGCAGCCGCCTCATCAATTACCACCAACTCTGCTTGCGCTAGGACATGGTAATCCGAAGGTTGAATCCACTGAATGGTTTGCCGATGATCTCGGAAAATGTTTACCCTCACAACGGCTTTTTGGAACGCTGGGTTGGTCGATTGTACAATGTCGTAGTCCAAATGCTCTTCGTAACCCAGTGCGTCAAATCCTTTGAAGATGAATTCAAAAAGGGTTTTCAAGTTTTCGGGACTCGGGGATGTGATGAAAATGTTGGAATATCCGTACGCTACAGCTGCGGCCATCGACAGCCCCAACGCGGCAGATTTTCCGCGTCCTCGGGCAGCTGTTAGTGCAACCGTCGACCTCAAGGTTTTATCTGCTATAGCTTCTATAAAGGTTAACACAGCCTTTGCTTGGTCAACGGTCTTGGCACAGTTTACGAGAGATCCAACCGGTTGTGTGTCTTTAAGCGAGTCTTTAAGCTCTACGAGTTCTTTTTGCAAGGGGGTGAGGGTGGTTTCTTCGAGGCGGGGAAGAGGTTTCACGTTCTTGCCGGCACTGAGGGGGAGGACATTAAGTTCATCATCTACCACCAAACAAGTTTCGCAGGCGCCGAGGGAAAGGATAAAGCGTTCGTTGAAACGAGCCACTGTGTCTTGATGTGATTCTGTACGATATCGCGCGTGCACGTCCTAAAGTTCGGAATATCAAACATTAAGTACAAGTCATCGACACTCCCTGCCGCAGCAAATTTGAACCCACCATAGTCATACTGTACAATTGCTTCAAACTCTTCATCGTCTTCAACAATATCACAACAATACCTCCCCCTTCGACAGTCTCCACCGTTCGCGCAAGCAAATTTGGCGTCAACGCTTCAAAGTCTTGCAGCACACACATTCCATAAGTGTTTCCCAAAATCTTTTCGGTTTCTTTGTAATAGGTATACCGAATGGAAGTAGATGAAACAAATAGCTCAAAAGGATCTTCCTCGTCCGCCTCTCGAATTCCTCTTGCAATCTGTCGTTTAATCTGGTTCATGCGCTTTTTGCGGTGGCTATAATCAAAGTACGGCGTCATCAGCACTTTTCGCCGACTTTGTGAATTGGCATATCCAACCTACCTAGAAAAGCCCAATTCCTTTTTGTAGCACCATAATACACTCGGCCGAGCAGATACTCTCGCTTTGCTCAACAAAAAATGGAGCGTTACGACTTGATCTCGCCCTCGATCTCCAACCATAACAAAGAATGAGCGTTGGTTTCTTTGGACATTATTTTGGATGAGAGTGGGAATACGAGAGTCTAATTTCTTTCGATGTGTATTCTGGACCATGTTCGAAATGGCGGTCCTTGTGGAAGCGATAAATGTAACAAATGCCAAAGCCCACCGTTGCAAACCGCGAACTTACATCCTGCTTCCCACAAAAAAGAATTCACGATTGCTTATGCAATGTAATCACGTGCTACTTTTCTGCCCAGAAATCAGTGTTGGCTCTCAGTGTAGGCGAAGGGCGATGTGGGAGGGCTGGCAAGTGGCCGTCGTTGCTTCATCCGAAAATGTTTACTGGACTTGGAACGTATGCAACAAGACCATGCCATACATTCCACCAAGCTTGCTTCTTGGCAACAGCTAATGAACCGTACAGTTTGCCATGGTAGTCACACAATGTTGTCGGACATTTGAACATGTGCTTCAACCGCTGCTCAGGCAAGGGCTGCAGGGTGACAAAGCCCAGCTTCATTCCTAAGGAATAGAAACTGAAACCTCCCATCCTGATATTGGGATATGAAATGGATTTTGTTATCACTGCCCTATACTTGTTTTCGTGTGTCGTTTGCGGTGAGGCAATTTGAAAAAGATGCGCTTATCCCGTCATTGCAAAATCCTCGCTGGTGACATCACTCCAAAGGTGCAAAATGCAAGCAATGCAAAAAACAACAACAACAAGAAGGAAGAAATGATAGAGTTTGGACATTCAAAATCGAGAGCAAAATTGTGAGTCATTTCACACTTTTGCGTTCAACGAGTGATGTCAGTTGGCGAGTTCATCTTTTGCCCTCGGCTTGACGCTTTGTTGATCAACCCACGGGACATGAGGTCAAAGTGAACAAGAAATTGCTGCGTGTGTGTGTGTGCTGCTGTCGTACTTCTACTCGTTTTAATCGGTCATGTCGTAGTTCTTTTTTTTCCTATAAATATCTCCATCACATAGTGATTGTCCTCCGCCTTTCATTTCCCCTTTTGCTGTTGTTGACAATCTCTCCTTTAAGCATCTTGTGCTGGTCGTTTCTCCAGCCTAGAAAGTTAAAGGGGGGCTAATTCATTGATTAGAGTCACTCTCGTGGTGATCTCCTTTTTCCGCGTCGTCATCGCTCCATTTTCTTTATAAACAAACCCTCGCGGCCAACGTCCCCGCCTACGTTTTCTGTAAAGTACCTCATAGAAAGACAACAACCACAAAAACACAGCACGGGCTGGAGAGACAATCTCCGACGTTTCTTTTGCAACTTCAAAGGTAGGTTCTTGTCGTTCAGAACAGACGCGTCCTTGTGCGCAGCTGCTACCAGAGCAGCTTGTGTTGTGTTGTGGAGCTCAACCACAGCAGCAATGCAAGCTGTCATTGCTGGAATGGCCCGGCCCATCTTTGGAACTCACACGACCGTTCCGCCCTCCATTCTGCAGCCCTATAGTACGCGTTACATCTTTCGCTTTAGGACCCTCATCTCGAAAACGTCGCGTCCTTCCTCATAGTCGACCATGACCACATTTCTTTTGCCGCGATCATCAACAAATCTGGACGCCTCCTGGATGTCTGCAGAAGAAGCATCCGTTTCCTTTGTGCCACTGGCTGATCCCCCGTCGCCGCCCACGTCACCTGCACCTGTAGCGAGAACCATTGTCTGCGAAGGCAAGCTCTCTGTCCGAATACTCCCCGGTCCAACAGCTCGAGGTGATGACAGTGTACCAAAGCTTCGCAGAAGGAGTATAGACATTCTCCGCAATGCTTGGGCCTCTGTTTTGACAAGTGCTGGTGGCAATGGGAGGGACACGGTTGGTGGGGGTGCCGTGGGAAAAGTTGCAAGATTGGACAAATGGACCTCTGTTCACGCATGGCTGGACGATGCGGCTTTACTTCACATCGAGGGCTTCCCGTCTACCACAGGTGGTGGTGCTACGATTGTCAAGGTCGAAAGAGCAAAATGGAGAATGAGCCAGGATTGGGCCGTGGGAAGAAAAAGTGCCGATCATGCAGTGACTGTAAAAGTGACTAGTGCGCAACCAAGGAAGAGTCTGGATGTGTGGAACAGAAGGAGTTGGAGTGTTGAAGCGGAAACTTGGAATTATGGTAAAGAAAGTCTAGGCAACGCGGCCGATGTTCAACGTATGAGGTTAACACGACGTTCTATTAGATGAAGCCAAATCCCGGCGACCCTCCCATCCCACCATCCTTTTTAACCCCATCACTGCAGCCCAGCAAAGCACTCCCCACACAACGTTCCGGGTCTTGTCCCTCGACAGAGATCCAAGCGGCACCATCCTTCTCTTGCATGTCGAACCATACGAAGATACTTCCGTCCCAAACATGGACAGTCCCGCGACCGGACAATTGACAACGCTCTATCTGCGCTTCAAATCGAGCGCAAAGCTAGATCGGTGGCGTGCAGCTTTCTCGCTCGCGCTGTGCGTCGCGCAGGCGCGCTCTGAGGCGGAAGCAGCTCAAGAAGTGGAAAGAAAGCTGGCGGAGGTGGATGAGGCGAGAAAGGCGGCTGAAATTGAAAAGCAGAAGGTTGAAAAAAAACTGAAAAAAGAAAAAAAGGAGTGGGAGAAGAAGGTTCGAGGCATGTTTTCTGCTGAGGAAGTGCAAGATGTGTATCAGGTACTGTTATCATCATCGTAGGTGACCTTTTACAGAAAGCTGATATTGATATGGATATAACAGGAAACGGCAGACCAACTTTCCGAAGCAGAAGCAAAAATGGCAGAATTGGAAGCCAAACTCGTCCAGGAACAACGGGCCAAACAGGATCTTCGTCGTGAGCTCGACCAACTTCGCGCCGCGACAGAGGGTCCCGTTGGTGAATACAATACCCTCCTCTTGAGACATGAAGAACTCTGCCGGAAATATGAGGAACAAAAGCGCGAGAATGTACTCATACGGGCTTTGTATGAGAAGGAACTCGCTGCTCATAAAGTATGTTGGCACTGTAATTTCGCTTTCGTATCTTCTTTTTCCTGATTTATTCATTCGAATGGTTTCTGCCTATAGCGTTTGGCAGCAATCCTACGAAAACAAGCCTCTGACAATGTCCAAGCTGCTGAAGATCTCGCGCAGGCTCAGCTTCAAGGGTTATTGTCACCTCCCATGTCACCAACGCCGCTCTCACGATCCATATCACCTGTACCGCTGTCTCCTGCAGATACTGTTGTGAGCTTTTCTGGAAGACAGTGATGATGTTCCACACGGTAGCTTTCACGCACACGTTCTCTTCTTTGCTGGTTCCTGTGTCCTCTTTTTTTTTTTCTTTTGTCTTTTTGTGTATATACTGTAGTGTAAACATGGCTATGATGGCGAGTACTGGCGGGTTGGATTTTTACATGTAAATTGCAAAACTTGACCTATGCATTTTGATAAACATTCAAATGTCTTTTGTGAATTGTCTGGGGGAGCATGTAAAGTACGGTGGACGGGATGTCAACCCCAACTTTACCCGATGGCATTGTGCCCGCGGGACATTAGTGGATATAGTCCCTGTTATTAAAAGTAAGGGTTAGGATCAACATGTACCTGCCAGTGGGATTGCCCTCTTTGCAATTATTAAACAAACATTCAGCTGCAGGTTGTTTCACCCCTTTCAAAGACTTGTCCGTAATTAAAGGACATGCCTGCAATGTAATATGCTTTCCCGTGTCAAGAGCGTATCCACCTCGTTATATCAACGTCATTATAATCTGCATGTGTGTGTTTGCTTGTATCCAATATGCGCATGTTAAGGGATATCCCCCTCTGCGACCGTTTGCCACAGCCCAATAATAACCCTTGCTCATCTTAATAAACGCATAATAAACGAACTCCTCTTCAACCACTCGTCCATCCTCCTTTGAAAATGCAGGTGACACTTGCCAGACATGTCCATAGTCAGCTTTGCACCTCTTAATGGCAAACCAAACAAAAACAAAAGCTGGACCCCAAGACTAAAAATGTGAGACAAGCCAAAAGGGGGGGAGGCAACCCCCGTGTTTCATGTCATTTAAACCAACGGTTCGTTTTGCCAACCAATCAAATTTCTTTAATTATTAAAAAAAACTTGCTTTTAGATGTTAAAAGCCACCCCTCAAATCCCTTCCAATGGTTACACTCGAGCGGTTTGCGTTCAACAAGGGCAAAAAAAAGAGATGATGATAGCTATGGAAGGGAAAAGGGAGGGGATTTATAGATATTATATAAACATGTTGGAAGAAGGCATTTCCTTCCTGTTGCGTTTTATAGACGAGCATTTGACGATTGAATAGATACATACAAAAACAAGGTTCTGAACCATGCACTCCCGTCTCGTCGCCCTCGTTGCCCTTTTGCCAGTCCTGGCTGTACAAGCTCACCCCCAATACGGGTACGGAGTGTACGCAAATTCCGCTGCCTTGTCGGACGAGTATAAAGTCCCTGCTGGAACAGAGACGACTTCTCTCCCTACGGCAACAGAATCGAGTTCCCCCGCGTCTACAACAACCGCTGATATTGTTGTGTTGTCGCCTCCTTCTTCCACTGCAGCTGAGATGCCTCCTTATGCTACCCAGGCTGCTTCATCGTATCCTTCCTCTTCTAAGGAAGAAGAAGACTGTGAGGATGGAGAAGAAGAAGGTGCGGATGACGAGTATGATTGTGAAGAAGAGGGTGCAAACACGGCGGGACCCATCCAAGTTGGAACAGGTTTGTGATGTTTGTCATTTTGCGAGTTGGACGGGTTTTTAACATTCCTGTTCACCACCTCAGCTACCGTCTCGCCTGAGAAGCAATCCACCTCCACAGAATCGCCAGTACCTGAGAGCGGTATCTACTCTGGTGCCGAGAGCAAGGGAACTGGCATGGCCATCTCAGTTGGTGCAAGTTTGGTGGGATTGTGGGTAGTTTTGGCCTAGAATCTTGGGCTTCAGAGCCTCCCTTGCATAGATAGACTGTAGTATTTTCTTTGTAAACATTTCTAGATTGGATCAGGTTGATGTACTTTGTCAAATAATAAAAAAAAAGTAATTATTTAGTTGCATAAAAGGACGTAGCTCAAAGATAATGAATGATCAACGACAATTACATCAACTCATGATTCCGCTGAAAGCAGAAAATGTCTCATCGAAATTACTGTACAAGTTTTTGTCCATCCACGTTCATCCTTGGTATCTACCGCCACTGCCTCCTCCCCCGGACGCTCCCAAGCTCCCAAACACAACATCCTCTCGTTCCCTCCGGCTACGTCTCGTGCCTATACTACTTCCCTCCGCTGTGCCTGTAATCTCCATTGGCGCAGACAGAGTATCGCTTCCCGCTCCAAAATTGGCTAACGCCGTTTTAACCCGATCTTTAACATCCATATTCGAGTCATCCATCATCGATGCTAATCGGGTCTCAAAGCCCAATTCGCGAAGACGGATGACCCTCTCTTGCGCTCCAGGGTCATCAGTCCACGTTAGATTAATGACGCACCATATGGTCGCAACACGGATGAGGGATTTTGTGTGTGACTATCAAGCATCAAGTTAGCACGGTTGCACCCAGGTTGCTCCACCTCACTACTGTAAATACCATGAATCCCAAAATGGCTTCTATTATTGTCTCGCGGTTCATGATCGCAGCCTTATGTCGGTCATTTCCGGTAGATACATTGACGATTACATATAACGCTTGCAGGATAATGTCATCCGATTGCGTCGGTTTTGTCAGCTTGGTCTCGAGTATATCCATAACTTTGTCTTCACCAAGACCCTTGAAAACTTGTTCAATATCGCTTTCTTTACCACACGCGAGATTGCGAAGGAGGTTGAGAGCTTGCTCTTGAATTCCGGTTTCATTATCGTTGATGAGACTGCGCAACAAGCGTAAACACTCTGCCCTCGCCTTTGTCCTGTTTGAAATCTGATCTTACCTCAACAAGCCATCCCATCCCAGTTCCTTCATCACCCGCTCCTTTATTTCGCTATCTGCTTGAAATAGCAAATTTTTCAAAGCCCACACTGCGTTCAATCTCAATCGGTCATCCATGCTCTTTGCTAAATCCACTAATCGTTCAACACCCCCATTCTCCAGGACCGTCTTCTTCATCGGCGAAAAGTCGAGCACAATATTGCATAGCGTCGCGGAGGCTGTAGTCTGCACTTCCACGCTCTCGTCCGAAAGCAGCTGGAAAAGAGGAATTCCGACTCCAGCATCCACTAGTGATGTGCGGAGATTCTTGACAGATCGGGATAGGGAACGAGTGCATTCACATGCAGCGATGCGAATGCGTCGGTTTGGATGCGACATTGCTGAGACAATATGCGGAAGCAACTTTGCGTCAATTACCTGGGTAGATGTCCAAGGGTCAGGATTTTGCTACTAAATAAAGGCAATAGACGCACCCATACCTGTTTGCGACATTCTTCCCTTAACGAACACACAGCAGCCACAGCTCGAAACGCGCTTTCCTTTACACGCTCCGCATGCCCACAGGTTGCTCCAGGTTGTGCAGGAGGCGCCGTCTTGGTCGGAGACTTTTTTGCATCTTTCCTATTTTTCACTTTGGGTTCCACTACTTCAGGTGGCTCGCCTCCCTCACCAATGATGACTACCGCCAGCCTGGAAATCGCATCTGCTTCCAACGCCGCTTTTTGCAAATCTTCGCTTGGCTCCACCATATCCGCAAAAACTTTTGGTGCCTTCTCCTGTACAGTGGCCCATCCCGAGCCGTAAAGAGAGCTTATTGGTGCGGTCTCAGTAAAGAGCTTGATGAGAGTGGGTAATACTGTTAGAATCGTGTCTTGCTGATATTCCAATGGTAAGGAGCCGGTGCGGTATATGTTTGTCAAGCATGTTGCGGCAAGAAGTCGCATGACAGGTCGCCGGTCGCGAACCAGTCTTAGAATTAAGGGAACAGATCTGTCAAAGTTATGAGAAGCCTTACAGGAAACAATCATCTGAGCGGTCGTTGGGTTTTCTCGAGATAGGTTTGCAAGGGCGTCCAGCGCGGCTTCCTGAAGTTTTGGGTATGCGCTCCATCGAACATCTAATAATGCCACTAAGAGAGGTATCGCGCCTGCTCTTGCAACATGCATCTGCTCTTCATGGGCAAGGGACACTTTGGCCAGTATTCCGGCAGCCACTTCGGAAATGCGAACAGGAACAGTGCGCTGTGATGATGCAGGCTTGTCGAGTGTGAAGTCGTTGGGTGTAAGGAGACTTATTAAATCTTGCACATAATTGTTCTGCGACCATGAATGAACACATCCTTAGGGGGAACCGCCCTTTTGCAGCAGCCAGACAAACTCGACCTACCTTGACCACATCTCCTCTTGGTGCGTGCGCACTTTGATACACTGCCTTTAGTGCTCTTGCCCCCGCCTCGACAAGCTTCAACTCTTTCGATGATAAAGTTGCCAACAATGGCGTGATAGCACCGGCTTCCACCAGCATCTGTATATTTTGATCATTCCCGTATGCAAAGCTTCCGAGTACTACAGAGACTTGAACTCGCAGGTCGAGATCGCTGGTAGGATCCGATAGGAACTTGACGAGTCTGTGACACAGGATAGTTTTGAGAGGTTAATATCGCTTGTCCTTAGTCGCAGGCCAGTAAGGCTTCTCTGCCATACAAACCTTTCCGTCACACCCATTTTCATGTATAACTCTTTCTTCGTTCTATTTCCGATGACACTATTTTTGATAAATCGCACAGCGCGGGTTCGCTCCTGCTGATCTGACGATCTGAGAGCGGCAACGGCCGCCTCGTGCTTCGTGACGACCATATCACGCCCTTGTGTTGGCGTATGCTGCGAGGATATTTATTTGCTAGTAGATGGATTTGTCTTGCAATGCTCACTCGCTCGAGGAGGGAAGGGCTTGTAAGGATGAATTGGCTCCTACTTATCGACATGTTAGTCCGCTGGGTCGTTCTGGAATCGCATCACGTGAACAGAGACGCGAATGGTGAAGGACCATTGCGACGTTTTCCCGACAGGCCTTCCTTTTGTCGAAATTGCATTTACATCTTTCGGGGTGAAATGAGAGATGCTTTTCAAGCATGAGTTCTTCTTTGCAAAAGCATGTTTGGGAGCCTGCTTCGAATTAGAGATGTTGATCACTCTAGTATGATCCAGTGCACTATTAGAATTCCATAATGACATCGGTGACAGCAGCACTGACAGGAACAACCATGGAAAATCGGGAGTGACAAGGCAGTTTCCTTGTCGGGTGAGATGCACAAGGGGATGCTAGGCTCTGCAATAGTTGACATGCTGTGTTAGAATTGAACAAACGTGCGCAGCTTGACGCGTTGGACGCGTTTGGTCATCACCCTTTCCAACTTGTGTTATCCATATCTCCTTTCATACCCGCCATCTTTGACTTTTGTGTCTTATTCTCCAACGTTAATATCGTACTTGTATGAAAGTTTACCACAACAAATGGCTGACCGCATAACATTAGCATACACAAGCCTCTTCATCGCTCTGGTAAGATACAATGTCTTCCTCAACGCCCTGCTGTCGAGAATTGACAGACTTGCTTGCGGATTGTGATATAAATGAACAGGTCTTTCTGACATTTTCTATTCTCGGCGGTCTAACGGTGCCGTTTCTCCGGTAGGTTAGAGGTCCCACAATCGCAAGGTTCAAGCACAATCCACTAATGTCACAGTTTTTTACCTAGTTCGATGCCCTGGGCTAAATCCGCTGATGCACTGGTAGCCATCTGGGGTTACTGTCCCCGAATTTCAGAAGACGTGCCCAGTCCAGCGAGATTCTGCCATCCTCTGCAACGACCGTGCGCGGCAGATGAACATCAATTGGCGGGTAAACTTGAGCTCGAATACTTGTGATGTTCAACTCGACAGTGTCTTGGCAAGCAAGGTCACATCTTAACACCAAATTTCATTACAGAGGACCGCTCAACGATGCTCGCCCAATTACTGATGCATATCTTTGCATGGTTTTTCACATGTCTCGCACTAGTCTGTGCAATTCTTAAGCGACCATTTCGAGTTCCGGCCAATCTGAGTTTTCTGGCCTCTGTACTTGCAATGTAGGTTCATGCTGCTATTCTGCTCGCAATCATGCATTTCACCACCGTTATTCACAGAATTGGCCTCGCAATTGGAGCTTCATTCACTGTCACCACCATCGAGAGGATTTCCAACGCAGGAGATCCTACCGCCCGATACGGTGCGGCGGTTTTCCTAAGTGGCTTTGCCGTTTTATTTCTATTGATCGGATCCGCTATGTACCTCTGCGAATTCCAATTTGCAAAGAAGGTGGTACATGAAAAAATAGTCGTCAAAAAATGAATTGTGGGGAAGGAGCAGTAGCGGGATGTCTTTCAGACACTTGAAGACAATAGTGGATGGGCGTGCGTGTGTCATGCGGAACTAGTAATGGGACCTTGTCAATTTCCTGGCTCTATCGTTGGAAAGTGGAAATTAGGCGGTGTTTGGTGCCGAAGGACAGCGGAAATGTAGCAGTACAAGACTGTAAAGACCTTATTTTAGTAATTGCTCGAGTATTTCAAGCTTTTGCTTTTTCTTTGGCGGCATGATGATATCTGTATCTGTGGGGGAAAAAGATGAAAGCCTGGGAAAATGGGCACGACAACTTATATAGGATCTTTTGGATCAAATCATAGTTCATGAGTCTAAATCGAGTAAAATTATGATTAAATTGGTTGGAATCTATGTACTAGTGCCAATACCCATTGGCTCATTCATAGTGTGAAGGCGATTGAAAATGGCACTAGGACTCATTATTATCCGGATTAATCCGGTTAATCATATCGCATAATCAGAACCCCCCTCTATCGCTCAGATTGGTGTGGCATGCAGCGGTGTGGCATGCATGTAATGTTTTTTTTTTTTAAACTGCGGTGAGGCGCATGCCAAAGGTCTATAAAAGGGGGACCTGCTCCCTCTTCCCTCTTTCCTCTTTACCCATCCTCGACTCACAAGCATCTGCGCAACGCTCATTGCGACCCACATTGCAACCTCATAGTGACCCACACAACCTCATCGCGACTCGGTCAACCATGAGAATGCTGATATGGTGGTGTCGAGGACCTCGACCGCCCGACAGCAACAGGAATCAGAACCAGCTGCAACTAATCGGATCCGTTGACAAAGCTGCTATTATGCTGCCACATTTGTTGAGCTTGGTTGGTATGTATTGATGGCATCTTTGCATTTCTTGTCATCGGGTCATCTTATGACATGCATTTTTTTGTAGTCTCCAAGCACTTGTCACTGAACATCCTCCAGCTTGTGAGTCTCCCCAATGTTGCGAAGACTCTGGCTTCAATGCCATCAAGAGTTCTGGATCAAGGCCTAGTAGGGACCGCGTGTGGTGGTGGGCAATTATCCGGTTAGAACCAACCGTTACGTATTGCGTGTATAATTGCCTAGTAGTAGTTAGTTAGCTGTTCCGAACCGGTTGTCGCCGGTTTATTCCCTGTTGTTGCAGCTAGTGCCAGTTTCTGTCACCTCTACACTATCGGCAATTGCATTGCTGTTGACCTCACAACGCAAGAATCGTAGAAAACCCAATTTTTGGATGGTGAATCCAGTTTCTATTAGAACTACAGTGTATCGTAACCTATTATCGTGTAACAGAAGAAAGTAAAATGCATACAAGAAAACAAATGCCCAAAACGTTGCTTATGCGAAACTCCAGCCTATCGATCAACAAATGTCAACAGACGTCGTCTTCCAGCTCATAAATTCTCAGATTTCTGATTCCATCCATATTATCCCTAAGTACCAATTCATCTTCCACACACTCCTTCGCGCCTCCGGTCAGGTGCAAAACGAACGCGAACACAAACGCCTTCATCCGCATCACTCTCCATTCCTGCAGAAGCTCCTGATGACGCATCAGATTCCTCGCAACTACTTCCAAGTGCGGAATCCGCGATCGACCAGTCTGACGACGAGTTCGATGGACTAGGAGGGTGGACAGACTGGCCACTGTCCCCACGTAAACCCGAAGATAGTTGAGGTTTACTGACTGTAACCCGTTTAGGTGCATTTGCTGACACTGAGAGTTTCACGGACGTTGACGTCTTTATCGCCCGAGGGGATGTGGACGTCTCAGGGGTGGCTAGAGCTTTTGCCCGCGCCTTCTTCTTCATTTCAATCTCGTAGTCCGTACCCATCCAGACATCCCAGAATGTGAAGAAAGGCTAGTAGCGCCAAAATCATCATCAGCACAACATTCACATCATTTTGCCTGGCTATGAAGTCTGCCTAGTATAGCCGGCATTACAACACTCACCTGGCTGAAATTGTACATTCTACCCTTCCCCCAATGATGAATATCGTGATAAACTGCATTGTTCCGAAAGAATCTCTGAAAGGGATCCCACGGCAAGGCATAGCCACAGTGATCATCCACAGTCTTCAGCGTGGCCAGCGAAAAGAAGATTGTGCTGGTCCACGGATGCATATCGAGGATGAGAGAAGGTACCCCACTTCCAACAGTATCCATGATGAATCCTTCAAGCGGGTGATTGTAGAGTGCTCCATAAGCGTAAAGGACCGTTAACTCATGATGAACGGAATGGAAGTGGCGATACAGGAAGCGATTTGTATGCATCCAGCGGTGCATCCAATACTACGGAAACGAAAACACTTTGGTTTAGAAACGAATCCGGAGCTGAGCGCAATTGTGTTATGTCATTGGTCATAAACCTACCTGGTAACTGTCCAACAGCACGGCCGCGACACATATCTTTGCCACAAGCAACAATGGGTGCTCTATTGGCCTTGTGGCCATGTCTGCAGGTCTTGTTCCCACTGCCAGTGCATACGCTACAATACATTGAATGATGTGTTGAATAGCCACTTTTTGAATTACGTGTCTCACAGTGATTCGATTGGGTGGGCGCATCTTTTGATCCGTTGGAATACGGTGGAGTTCAACGGAGGTGATTTGGAGCCATGAGAGAACGTAAAGGAGCGTGGAGTAGATCCAATAACAGGCTACTGGAACAAAGATCATACAGAGCTCAGATGTTTCGAGATGTGGCAGGGAGGAGAGTGTTGAAACCATTGATTCAGGGAGGTATGTCGAAGCTATGCGAGACATTGCAGTCAAGCTACTGTGGAAAAATGTAGCAGATGCTGGAACGTTGGTATATGCTGACAGGGTTGATGTCAATCCATTCATCCAATTTGTCCACAGTGTGACTAGTCCAATCGGAACATGAGTGAAAAGATCAAAGTCATCCGAGGGAGCCATATGGAGAAGTCTGAATTTTGCTTATTCCAAAGAATTTCAGGTGGGACTACAGAGTAGAAAACAGCCGTCAGCTCAGCATGCAAATGCCTCGGCCACGTCACAAAAGCCAAACATAAGTCAACCGTCTTACCTGTCCTCGTTGTTCAAATTCTAAGGAACGTCCTTCGCAGCGTGCAAAAACGCCTGCGAAAGTATGCTTGCGATTGTATGCAGATCAAATACGAAGGTGATGGGGCAAGCAAGCGTTATGACACGAGGCCAGTTTCCGATATTGTGCTTTCCAGGGACGTTGCCACCAATGCGCGTGTGAGACCCTTGTTCTGATATGAATGAAAAGGAGAATAGGAACGAGACGGGCTGTCCCTCTAGCGTTGTTGGTGAGTAACAGTCTTTAGGATTTTGGAATCGAATCGCAGAAAGCAAGCGACCTCAGGGACAGACAGTGCCGCGTTGAGTATGACTAATGGCCAGATGTGGGAAAGACAAGCCGAGCGGAGTTTTCATTCAATGAATCCGCGTGATTAAAAATGACTCGTATTGAATTTCCCGCGGTTTTCGCCGTCTCGCCGTCGTCGTCGTCCGTCGTCGTCGTCCGTCGTCGTCGTCGTTGTCGTCCGGGGACTGAATCCGTTCGTTGTCAACCAAAAGCGGGTTAGAATACGATAAAAAAACGGAAAAAAAAATAAAGACAAGATGGAAGAAAGCGGTTGCATTCCCAGATGACAAATTCACCGTTGTTGTAGCCATACGGGTTTTTTATTTGACAGCGCCTTTTTTTTTTTCTTTTGGTCGCTGTCGATAACCACGGCGGATTTTGCACAGTGGGCATTGGTGTTTATCGCTTTGACTTGTCAATGATGTTGGGTGAAGGGTTTTATTAACGGGATGTATTATGGGTCATTTTGGAATGGCATTGACTAGGAAGGCTCCATCAAGCATTCATACTAGTAATTTCAGATAGGTTTATTTATTGTAAAGTGACTGATGTAGATGAGATAAATGAATAAATGGAGGAATGCAAGTCTATTCTCTTGGTTATGCTGCATGTTCCACATCCAAGTGCGGATTAGCAGGCGGGTATAAAGTTGCGCTTTTCTTGATGTTACTGGGAACCTGCAGACTTCCTGGGTCGCCTGTGCTTACTTGGACCTGGGAAGCCCTCAAATTGCGGCTGGAGCGTTGATTGATCTGACCCGCAATAGAGTCAAAACTCTTGACAATAATGTCAACAGCTTCCATCACGCCTTCTTTGGGGGCACCTCGCAACTTGAGCATTCGGCGCCACGGAAGCTTGAGTGGCACGAGGACAACGGGGATCGCAAGGAATGCACTTGCCACTCCGTCGGAAATGGAAGAATGCACCATCCCGCCTTGTGTAAATATCGCGCGGGCGAGATTCAAGCTGGCAAGTGCTACGAGAGAAATGTAGGTAACAATGCGCACCGCGTTATCGACGACGGTTTCCGCCGGTTGAACAAAGATGCTGTGGGTTCCCGAGCTATAAGCAAGCGATCTGAACAAAGTAGTTGGAACGGAAAGTACTTACAAGATGAGGAGATAAACGTAAGCCATAAAGAGCACACTCAACGTACGACCGTAAGCTGCCAGTATTGAAAAAGGATTCGATATTGGCTCATGTACAAACCCACATATAAAAATACATTGGTAAACACTTACCAGCTTGACCAAGAAGAGTCGCCACAGAGTAAATGATGGCACGCATCACCGTGTCCAACGGCAGCCAGAACCACAGATGGGGTTTAAACTCAGCGTATAGGATCAAATCGGCAACACTTCCTAGATCCTCGGCCTGCTTCGTACTATCAACATGCTTTCCCGGCTTAGGCTTCAAGGGTCTTGGCTCGTGATGGTGTGCATGTGGGTAAAACATCCGATGACTGCGCTTCAGATACCGAAGATGTCGTAATAAGACCCATGGTACACCACATAGGAGAAACAGAGCAATCAAGATGGAAAACACGGCGAGGGTGATGTGATCCTTACCCTCCCAGCACTATGGTAGAAACTCGGATTGGTAAAGGCGGCTTCATTCATCAACGCATCTGTTACATTCTTACCATGATCCCTGGATTGGTCCGCATAAACCACCCCTGTCCTTCGACTTTTATGCAATCCAGAAAAGAAATACCTAACCATAAAAGGTTGTCAACCTTACCTCCAACAAAACGACACGATACGCAACGGCCACTTACAGGTCTCGAAGAGCGGACCGTAACAGAATAATCCGATGCAGTAGGCGGTCGCGTGTAAGTTTTGCCTTAGTGGCAAGTTTTGTATCTTACTCCATAATTTTGCGGCACGAGAATTCCCAAATATCTTTTTGCACACGACGCAAGCGCCGGCAAGCAAAATGAACCATCCCAACATGATAAGTGGGGTGAACACTGCTCGCGCCTCTTTTGCGATCGGAGTCAGAGGGGCCACGCAAGGATGGGATAACAAATGGATATCAAAGCGAAGTTCCATAAAGTTGACAACCGATTCGGCTGCACTATCTTGTTGTTCCAAAACGAAGCCAGATAATTGGTAGAAGAAAACCTGAGATGCAGGGCGGTGGGTAAGACAAGATCATCCATTTTACCGGACATTGAGACTGCAACTCACCAAATCCTCAAAGAAACCACTTGCTTGTTTGGGCAGGATGAAGAAAGCAACAACAACTGCTCCATAAGCCAACAGCAGTAGAATCAGAGGTCCCGGACTATAATTATCGCACGATACACATTTGCCACTCCACGAGTAAAGGCCTGGCTGACATTGACCACAAAGAGGCCCCGTGAAGTGGTCGATGCATTGTGCTTCAGATGCACAACCGGAGGAAGACTGACAGCCTATATCACCAAGTCAATGTCAGCAGGTGGCCTTTAATGGACTAAAATTACAGGCGTTCACGTACACGATCCGCCGAAAGGACACTGATAGAAGGCTCGTTCGATAATGGTTTCGTTTGGATTTCGCCAGTAATTTTGACGAGTAAGAACGCTTATTCCATCCTTGCAAACAGCACCTACTCATATTGTCAGTCTGAATGAACTGATGGGGTCACCGATGCGGGACCGTTGTAACTGACCGACTGGACAAGCTTTGCAGGTGGAGTTGGTGTGCATGTTGTACGTTCCGTCGGGGCATGGGGTGCAAACCAGTTGGTCCCCACGACGTCGTGCTTCTTCTCCTTTTGCGCATACAATGTATTCGGGCTTGTCCGGAGGAATCTTGTTGCCCCTATTAAAATTGGTTCATAAACCGCGATTCGCAAGTTGAACTTACATAGTCGCTTTTGTCATAATTCCAGAACGGCGTGTCGGTCAAACTGAACTCACCGTCCACGGTGACTTCAGCCAGTAATTGGCCGCCTTCTTCGTAATCGTTCCCATCTTGAGCCCATACTTCAAACTTTTTCTAGCAGAGACCAGTACTTGCATAAGTACTTGTCTGCCGCGTAATTGACCATCCCTGTTACCTACCACTAAAGCTCCGGCGTCGTCAAGAACAATCTTGCCAAGTGCTCCAACCCACCCGGTCTTTTGAAATAGAGTTAAATTCATGTACTTGTTCAAGCGGCCGGCAGCCAAATCGGCAGTAGTTCCCAGATTCTGGGTCAAAAGGTTGTTGAATCCCATAGCAAGTGTCCGGACAATATCATAGGCCGCTCTTTATAGACATATAAGCGAACGTTAGGGTATATGATGGCCCACAAATCCCGATCTGCTGAAATTGCACACCTTGAGGTATAATATGGACCATCGGAGGCTCTAAAAGTGACAATGGTATCAGTTCGCCGCTTAGTAGGACAATCTGTGTTTGCAACTTACATTGGATAATAACTTTCGTTGCTACTTGCAAGCTCCTCCCAGCGGGTTCTCCAAGCCCTTCCCGAGGCGGAGCTCGCTCCGTTTACAGGCCAAGCTATGTCGGGAGTTGAGAATCATCACTTCCACCGTTCAATTGGATTTCATGGGCTTACCAGCAATAAAGCCTTGGGTTCGGAGGATTGCTTCCGGCCCAAAGCGGTCTAATAAGGCTTCCCCTGGAAACGCCCATTCAGTATCCACGGCAAGTATTGCAATGAATTTGAGAGCAAACTTACCAGAGTCTTCAATGCCTGCTGCTCCCAGCCAAACGTACTCCCTTCCGACCAATCCGGCGTCACTGTAGCAACCCAAGATCAATTGTGGAGTCCAACATGCTAACTTGAACAAGTAATTAACCAGCTTACAATGCAGCAAAGTAAATGTCCGCTGTATTCTGGGGATTGGCACACACGATTATGATATGCGCCTCAGCCTGTTCTAGATTCTTGACAGCTATTTGAAGGGTCGCTGGATCGGTTTCACCACCTTGATAAAAACCTTGATTAAGTAGAATCGTGATTCCGTATAAGTTTAATCTGGCGTGCACGTAAAATTGTTGAGCTTGAGATCTCAGTATGATGCATAAGGAGTGGTTACCCGAACCTTTCAATGACCTTGTCGGCAACTGACGAAAAAAACCTTGTTAGCTACGGCGAGGCAAACGAGGACGGCATGTAACAGGAACTTACCAGAAGCGCCGAAAGTGTCGGTAGTCTTCACAACGGCGACATTGCGCCAACCCATTGCATAGACGTAGTCGACTATTGTTACTGCCGGCCTCTCCTGATCATGTGTCATTCTGTACAGGTACTAAACATGGGAAACAAGTCTGTACTGGTAAGCTTGATGTATGTAAATACGTTTTGCTGTGGGACCATTACCGGGTATCTATCGCGGTTGCTCAATGCTGGACTCGACGTTTGTGGCCCAAATTGAGGAATCTATGACCAGAATCCATAAATGGGATTCAAACTCTACACTTCGATATCTTGTGAACTCACTTGATGGTAGCTCGTAAGCAGGGCTTCATATTCAGTCGTTGGACTGAACATATCACCAATCACAGCGATAACCTTGTCGTCATTGATCAGTTCTGCAGTCACGGCCCTTGTATCGGTGAGGGGTTAATAGACTTGCTTAGTTCCAAATGACGAAGATAAAACTTACAGTGCCTGAGAAGCTGAGTCTACGAGTGTTGTATTTTCATACTCGCGGGTCCAAGAATCCTTGACAATCACTTGCAAGTCAGTACCTACAAAAAGCAATGCCGAAGTGAGGGCGTGAAGCGCATCAAAGTGTCCCAACTAGGTTTTATCCACGGAATACACCTCAGTGGGGCAAATGGGGTACAGGCGCCCTTGCCGCCCGATCTTACCATTGAGGAGCGTAGTGTTTTTGACGTCATTAATGGCGAGCTCAACGGCTGGGAGGATAGCGCTAATTTCCTTTGCTTTGCTTCTGACTTTTAAGGAGTATGGCATAACAACGCCAATTTTGATTATGTCTTGTGCGACAGCGAGGGAGCATAGTGAAAGACAGAGAATCTCCAAAGAGAGCAGCGCCTTCCAGTTGAATCCCCGCATAGCGGAACCCGACGATGATTCGATCAGATCAACACACAGGGAGCGGAAGGGAGACGAGAATGTGGAGGGCGGGGGCAAGGGGGCTCAAAGGGTTTATATGGTCTTCGATCCCACCATGGAAACCTTGTTTGCTTGGGATTTTGGCTGCAGCACCCATCCGCACCATGCTGCCCTAAACTATTGATTACCAAATATGATAATCGCAATTTCTAGGGCCTTTTCATGTATTGTTTGGACGACACCTGTTTCCCAGAAAGCCTACCAAAACCATAAGCGGAGATTGCTTACCTAACCGTCACGTGTGGGACGGTCCTGTTGCAAAGTCAGAACTCAGGCCAGCAACAAACAGAGCATTCCAGCGTATCCCCCAGGTGAAACAGGAGCCATGAGTAGACAGGTAGGAAGCTCAATTGGAGCCTTGTGGGTACTAGCATGTGTGGATATAGCTTAAACGTACTATCGGATCCATGCGCAGGCTACCCTCCTTATCCGGGGGTTTTTGTTTGCAACTGTGTTTTTGGCAGGGTTCTTCTATCTGCTCCCTCAGGCACCCATTGTCCATTCCCCCGAACCGCCCCACAGTTTACATGTACCACAGCAGGAGGCTGCCCCGCGAAAGCCAGTGTTGCCTGTGAAACCACCGATACTGCCTGCGCCGACATCCGTTAGTAAGGAAGTTGTTCCGTCAGAATATTCGCGCGATAGACCCGAAAACATCAGGGCCCTCTTCAGAGACGAAAAAGATAGTCTGGATGTTACCCCGGTGATTCGGAAATTGCATTTAGGTATATTTGTGTAGCCTGTTGAGTATAGCTCTGCGGTATCCGTTGACGCACCACTACAGGTCGACGGCTACGCATTTCCAAGGAAATCAACTTGTATCCCCTTTTTGGTGATGCACGAGGATCTTCTCTTGACATAACATATATGTACCGCGGCCTCAATGCCTCGTTATCAGCGACGGTCATCACAAAAGGGGAAGGGTTGATGTTTCTCCAATCAGATGTAGTTATCCCGGATACATTAGTGGAAGAGGATATGCCTGAGCGCTATCAGGGATCCGCCATTGTATTGGAGAAGCTGACAGGGAAGAGTGGATTGGAAATCGGCGGCGTATCAGATCCATTTCGAAACGTGGTGCCAATCTACAATGTCATTGAATCGCTGGATAATTCGAACTTTGCAGCAACCACCCTTTGGGAAACCTCTTTGCAGGACGGTCAAAAGACCTTCAAATGGAATCCAGCGAAAGATCCTGGAATTCAGTAAGGAATCTGTCTAAATTCGAGTCTGTTAGGTCATTCGCATTAATTCTCGTAGATATGTGATGGATGTCACCGATATGTCCAAACTACGTGACGCTGGAAAGTTTTACGACTTTGTAGCGGCATGCCACATGTTAGAGCACATAGCAAATCCACTGCGCGCTGTCAAAGAGATGGTCTCTGTTTTGAAACCCGATGGGTGAGGTGCTAAGAAGTTTGAACGTCTGGAGACCGGTATTAAATCTTCTTGACGTCCTCAAGGTATTTGTTCCTTCTTGTACCATACAAAAAGGCGTGTTTCGACCATTTTCGCGACTACACCCCAATGTCGGACTTGCTTTCCCATTGGGATCGCCACACAAGAGAAGAGGACCTCAGTGAACATTTCGAAGAGATCATGCTACTACACGACCTGTCCATGGATCCTCCTGCCGGGAGCTTGGCCCATTTCAGATCACGCAGCTTGAGAAATAAGGTACTGACTCTGCAAACCTCGTCTACTTCACAGATCGGCTGCTGATCTTTCTTAGGACGTGCGTGGGCTGCATCAACATGTATTTAGCTACGAACTGCTTGAACAGGTCTGTCAATGGGCTGGTTTGAAAACGGTCACACAAGACCGTACAGGCTTGCACATGTTTGCTTTGTGTCAGAAAAGTAGCTGAGTTTGTAGGTCACTAGTATTTGCATTCAATGGACCTAGCAATTATTGGATAAATAGAGTTAGGATTAACCAAACATTTGGCATCAACTGTTGTGAAGGGAATGCATCCGATGGAGTAACTAAATATAGGGAAGGGGGGCATTCATTTTCAATTATCCCCCAACACGCGCCCGAGGACGTGTCTTCTTTCCAGAAAAGCTCTTAGGGTTGCAGGCAACAGGGCAGGAGGTGAGTTCTCGTCTTTCAAAAAGGGTTGGGCGACTCGCAAAGATAGGAAAGAGTGTCGTTGGTAACGGGCGCTCTTTCGACATGAATTCCCGCACCGGCATCAGTGTCATCTTTTGGTATTCATGCACCGTCATCTCAACAATATACTCTAAACGGTATCTAGCAGCCTCTGGTGATCCATATTCACTTTCCCTGCTATCAGTGGGCATTGGAGCCCTTGGCTCCTTGCTCTATCGACCACGCAAAGATGTATCTATCGACAGGGGAAAGCTTTACCCACTTGCAATGCTCCACTTGGCAACTACCCTTCTGACCAACATTAGTTTGGGGAAGGCGTCAGTTGCCTTCACCTACATGGTGAAGGTAGGTACCTGCATATCCGACTTTCTGCATATATGAGCGGCAGTTAATATCTCGCCCATAGGCTGCAGAGCCAATCTTTGCTGCCGTCCTGTGTCGTCTCGTCCTAAATGACAGGTGGCCTTTTCACATATACCTCTCTCTACTGCCCATATTTTTTGGAGTTAGCCTCACAGCTGGGGCAGAAATGAACTTCTCTTTAATCGGTCTGTTTTCAGCACTGGCCTCGAACCTTGCTTCCAGCTCGCGTAACGTATTCTTCAAATCGACTCTAAAGGAGCTGTCTGTGAACTGGATCTCTGCCTATTTTGAAGTCTGTCGTGGCGCATTTACATTACTGGCTCCATTATACGGCCTCGGGGTGGTTGCAGGAAAGTGGAGCAAAAATGTGGAGGTGAAGACTCTTGGTAAGCATGTGGAATCAAGTATTGCTTTGGCGGCTTTTAACTGTTACTGATTCCAGATTCGACGATCACAAACGACGCATCGACATACCTTGTCCTTGGAGCTTCGCTACACTTCGCATACAACCTATTTAGCTTTGCGGTCCTTGATAAGCTGTCCCCGGTGACCCACGCCGTTACAAATGTGATGAAGGTGACTTTCTGCCTTCGCAACAACTTTCTCATTCGTCTGTTCTCATCCTTACTTTCAAGCGTGTCATGACCATTATATCTTCGCTTTTATATTTCGGTACCCCCTTCAACCTAGCCCAATTCTTTGGCTTTATCCTTGCAAATACTGGGGTCGGATGGTATTCCTATGCAAAAATGAAGTTTAAGGAAACCCCGAACGGCTGGGAAGGCGTCTCTGCGTCCCGGTTAGAATGGAGAAAATCTGCATGCATTAAGGCCGTTGGGGTGATAGTGCTGATGACGATAGCAACAGACTTCTTGGGGGTCTTCCATAGTGTTTATGCACATCGGAGTAGAGGTGTACGGGAGCTCAACCGCCGGGAATGTTTGCGCAAGATCAAGAGTCAGACGCTCAATGCTATGGGACCCCTTCTACCGGAGGACGCCAGATATGTCATCATAGACTTGGCCACACACACCAATCTTGGGGATAATTTCCTCTCGTAAGCTGGTGAATTAGTTCGAAAGTCTTTCGTCCGGAAGATGACTGACCGTTCCTATTCGTCACAGGCTCGGTGAACAGAAGCTGATTCATGGTTTGGACCGAAAGCTGGTGGGCGTGTGTACTCTCAGCACCAAAAGAAGCTGCTCCTTTGATCGAGTGGGAGAATATGCAAGAGACAACGTCACACTGCTTATACACGCAGGCGGGAACTTTGGCACTCTATGGGGCTACATACATGCATACCGCATGAAAGTTTTTTCGAACTTCAGGACTGCACGAATGCTATCTCTGCCGCAATCTGTTTATTATGATAAAGAACCGAAGAACGATGCGAAAATAATGGCAGATTGTCCGAACTTGACGCTGACCTGGAGATCAAGAGATTCTCTCCAATATGCTCAGGAGAACTTTCCACAAACGCCCTCATTTTTCGTTCCTGACATGGCGTTTATGATAGGTGATGTAATACCCGACGCGGAGCCAGTCGTAGATATCGTCTTCCTAGTCCGAAGCGATCGGGAGAGTGTGCATAAATCCGCTAGCTGGAAGGAGGCGCAGCGCCTGCTTTCGGAGCATGGTATCAGCTACGAACACGTTGACTGGAAGCTCACAAAAGACCAGGAAACCTTCCCGGGATTTGACGTTGGTGACCTGCTACTTAAGCGTTTACACATTGCCAACCGCCTGCTCTCGCGGGGAAAACTAATCGTTGCGGACCGACTACATGCAATTATACTGTCAACACTGATGGGGAAGCCGCATATCTATTTGGATAATAGTTACAAGAAAATAACGCAAGTGCGGAAAGCTGCTTTTGCTGATAAGCCCGAGTGCAGCGATGAAAACCTACAGGCAGAATATGCAGACAATCCACTGGTGGCTGCTGAAATGGCAATTAAAAGATTACACAAACTTTAGTTTATAATTGTATTTATTTCTGCTTCACTGTTGGCATCTCCAGACTTGTAATCTAACTTGTAAATAATATACACTACTACAAAGAAAGCTAGTGATGCATTTGTAGTGATGAAGATGTCTACATGCATTGCAAGCTAGTCAGATGAGGGTACATGGAGGATGGTTTCATTTAGCAAACTTGCAAATTTGAGTACAGCAACCAAGAATTTTGCTTTAGTACTAGTAGTGATATGCCAAGATTTGGTGATGGATTGTGTGACCCATAAGGGACTGGACTGTCACCCAATTGGAAAAGAACAGTACTGCCACCAACAAATCAGTTGTAGTGCTGATGCAGTTATTAGCATAGAGATTTAGCTGAGATTCCTGTATATATAAGAATAAATCTTGCAGAGCAAGTCATGAGGCAGAAGCTGGTAGCAACAGTACAACCCCATAAACTAGCTTCTCAACTCCAATCCTAGGTTTACAGGAACCCAACAGAGGATTTCATTGGACTAATCACCTGCATGGAAGCCTCCAAATCCTGCTCAGTTCACACTAACCAAATCCTGCTCAGTTCATACTAACCAAATCCCCAATTGCCTCTTGTCCCCAACACAGCTACCAAAACCCTCAAAAAGGATTCACAGACCATTTACACCAGTACAGCCCTCCAATGACCTGCTAGGGAAGTTCCTGTCTCAAATCCATTACACATTGACAACATAGTCAACAGCCATTACTGTATATTACTATTATTATCTGAACCTATATTTAAGTAAACATAGTAGTTTAACAGGTCTCAGTTCTAACTGTGTATGATCAAAATATGTGACCTTTCTATATAAAAGACTACCTATAACTGTGTATTGGTGGTAACTATTGTGTAAAGATGAAGGAACCTCTACCTACAATCCAGGTGAATAAAAAACAAATTTGGAGGTATATTTAAGGTTAATTTATATATAGTAGGGTCAGGCCTGCCCTACAATTCTATTATTACCTATAACTTCCCAAAGATTTAGTATTAATACCTGCTAGCAGTATATAGTATACTAGCACTTTTGGTATTTCTGCAGACTTAGATGCATCCATTTATCCCTAAGGACTGTTGCCTTAATCCTTCTAAAATTGGGTGCTAATGTACACCAGAACTCACTACCACTTCTCCAAACACTTCCAAGAAATACTGCATAGTTAGCTGGGCTTGAATTGGACATGGTTCACTCCATTTGTATTGGCCTGTGAGGAAACTAGTAAGTAGCTGTCCTACAATAAACAGCCAGTATATTAATATAAATATCAGGATCTTGGACAAGTATTTATGGAAGAACTATGCAAATACATCCTGTTAAATTATTATATATATTTTATTTATGGAGGAGGAAGCAGTTGCCCAATAATGTAGAAAGAGGAAGAGGTACAGAGTTGGGAGACCAGCAGTACAGACATGCAGCTTTTTATCTGCCAAGATCACAGAGATGGTGCAGGTTAACAATTATTGAAATCTACACAAACTGATAAACTTTGATGAGAGAAAAATAAGAATTGTAGTATTGATATATTACTATGGTGTAACTAAAAAATATCTATAGCTCTTTGAGAAAAACAATCTCCATTGAGGTCTTTTGGAATGCAACCAGTCTACAAAATATGTCAAACAATTGGAAGTTCCAGCATATTTATAGAGTATAAATGTAAAAGTCTATGCATGTGGAGCCCTTGGCAGGTATGTATTTTAAAAATGACACATGAATACAGAGGCCCACCCCTCCTTTCAATATAACTTTGTTAAGCATGAGCACCAGACAGAAATGGACCTCAGCACAATTGCAGAACAAACACACATCAAGCAGGCATCAGTAGGGAGCAACCAACATGGTACAATTGACTGGAGCAAGTGATGCTGGAAATACAGGCAATGATGACCTGCTACCACTGTGCTTGCCAAGTAAAAACTGGAAGGTCTGTCACTCCAGGAGCACAGTTCTATTTGAAACAGGCAGCCATCCAATCTGTACACAAACTTAATTACCCATATTTCTCCTGGTAGAAATGGCATGAAAAATTGAAAAGCAAATCTTGCTGTTCAACAGGTGCAGACTATTTGTCTCAAGATGCAGTCTGTTTTTAAGCTTTAGCCAAGTCTCACAATCCAGACCCATCTAATCTCTTATTAGAAGCATTGAGCAAAATTGAAAGCTGACCTTGACATTTCCATGCATACTTCCACCAATTTTATTAAGCAGTACAATCCCAATGCAATTCTGCTTTTATATTAACAAAAATTAGTACCATATCTGATAGCAAGAGTGGATCAAGATCTAATAACATTTCCATTATGTAGAAACAGCTTATGTTGTCAGATACTTCAAATTTCACCAATTTATAATTGGTCTGCACCCTCATTTTTTTCTCTTAGCATCTTACAAAGAAAAATGAAAGTCTTCAGCCACCTGAAAATGCAAAGACATGTGGGGCTGTATACCACTGACTGAAACTAATTGCAGACTATTTAGTATAGTAACAGGGTTTGCTAGGACTGTCCTCAAGACAAACTGATCTGGGGCACCTTTCAGTCTCTTATCACCCTGGTAATATAAAAGTACTGTCCAAGATACTAAATATGGTAACCAATTGTGGGCTTCTCAACTCATTCTCCAATGGTAATCAACTCCCACTCATAACACATACTTGAAAGCCAACTACTAATTCTCCACTTACTGCCAGGGGTTTGCCACCTAGGCAGTTTTCAGAGTGGCAAATACATACTGGCATTGGGGTCTAGAAATCCTGACAGGCAGTTGAATTGGTGAGCCTGAGAAAGGAAATGATGGCATGGTAGATACCTAGGATAGGTGTACTTTAATGGATGACTAGTATTATGGGAGGTCATACTGAGATATTGTTCAGACAGTCCTCATCTGATTTCTGGTTGATATCAGACATGATAGAATTGGAATTTGACTGAATAGAGCCATCGCTGTGCATGTGAGTCAATTTACAGATCCAAATCAAGCTATAAGCAATGTGGGAGTTTTGGAATATGTTCCAGATGCAAAACTCAATGCAATGGCTGTAATTGCTCTGTCACTGAGTGATGCCCAACTCATGCATGTCCAGATGGCTGGGACTGCAAGGGAGGCCTGGTTAAAGCTCAGTGACATCCACCAAAGGAAAGGAATTGCCAGTAGGCTCTATCTAAGGAGGAAATTTCTCACTCTGAAGATGGAAGACGGCGCTGGGGGCATGTTGGGACACATAAACACAGTCAGGACAATGGCTCAGCAGTTGGAGGCCATTGGGGCGCCAGTCAGTGAAGAAGACCAAGTCATCACCCTACTCTACAGCCTACCAGAGAGTTATGAACAGCTGGTGGTGTCTTTGGAGGCCAGGAGTGATTCTCTGATGCTGGAATTCCTCACATCATGGCTTTTGCATGAAGAAACATGCAGGAAGGAAGCTGGGAGTGAAGGAGATAGCAAAGGGAAGGCCTTTTTCAGCAGGGATGGCAGGCAGAAGGTTGGCAAGCATGGTGGGACCAAGAAGACAGCAGGGAAGTGCTTCTACTGCAACAAGAAGGGTCACTTCAAGAAGGACTGCAGGAAGGTTCTGGTGGACACCAAAGAGCAGGCCAATCAAGCCAGTACCAGTCAGGCAACTCAGAATGAGTTCCTATTCTTTGCTCAGTTGGGAGATGACACCAAAAACTCTCAGGGAGCAGTCTGGTGGAATGTGGACTTGGGTGCTTCACAGCACATGTCACACAGAAGGGATTGGATGACCAATTACAAGGAGATGTCACCAATTCAAGTCCATCTGGCAGACAACAGAACAGTTCAGGCAATAGGGAAGGGCCAGATCACACTTGAGACAGACAGAAACCGATTCTGTACCCTCAAAGATGTGTGGTTTGTTCCCAAGCTTGAAAAGAACTTGTTTTCAGTAAGAAGAGCCACTGAAAACGGTGCCAAAGTGGAATTTGGCAACAAGGGATGCTGAATCAAGACTTCAGACAGTCAGGAAGCAATCCAGGGAACTCTAGGCAGTGGTCTATACATGTTTCATGCAAGAGAACATGCAAACATAGCCTCTGGAATGAGTTTGGACCTCTGGCATCGCAGGTTAGGACACCTGAACGTCAACAGCATCAAAATCTTGGCTAGGAACCAGCTGGGAAGCAGTCTGGAGGTCAAGAATCACACAGAAACATCACCATGTGAAGCCTGTGCCATTGGAAAGATTACCAGGTGTCCCTTTCCAAAGGGAGAAGCAGCTAGAGCAGCTCTACTGCTGGGGGTGGTTCACAGTGATGTGTGTGGGCCCATGAAGACACCAAGTCATGGTGGGGCAAAGTACTTTGTCACATTCATTGATGACAAGTCAAGGATGATGGCAGTTTATCTTCTGAAGGAGAAGAGTGAGGTTCTCAGCAAATTCAAGGAGTTTGAGGCCTGGGCAACCAACTTCACGGGGCAGAAGATCAAAACTCTCAGATCAGACAATGGGGGAGAGTATGTGGGCGAAGAATTCAAGAAATTCTGCAAACAGAAGGGAATTCAGCAGCAATTCAGCACCCCCTACACACCAGAGCAGAATGGTGTTGCTGAGAGGATGAACAGGATGCTGGTGGAAATGGGAAGGTGCATGCTGCACCACAGTGGACTCAGCTACAAGTTCTGGGGCGAGGCAATCATGACAGCGGCCTATCTCAGGAACAGGAGCCCCACTGCAGCACTCAGCAACCAATCAACACAATTTCAAGAGTTTACAGGCGGTAAACCAGCTCTCCAGCACCTCAGAGTGTTTGGCTGCATGGCCTACACTCATATTTCAAAAGAAAAGCGGTCAAAACTTGATGAGAAGGCCAAGAAGGCAGTCATGGTCGGCTACAGTACTCAGAGTAAGGCCTACAGACTGTGGGTACCTGAAATGAACCAAGTTGTCATGTCAAGGGACGTCATCTTTGATGAAAACTTGATGTGGAGCACTCAGCAGCGACTGCAGAGTGTACCACAGCAAGACCAAGAGCTACAGATGCCTCTGGGAGGGGAGCCTTCGTTCTTGGATGACCAAGAAGGGCTAGGGACGGTTCAAGAGACTCAGAGACCATCTAGCATCACTCCAGACAACTCTTCAGCATCAGAAGATGATGGGGACGACTTCCAGGATGCTGAGGAAGTGCCAGAACTCAGCAGGAAGAGTGCCAGATTTCACAAACCACTGGGAGAGTGGTGGATTGCAAAGCCAACTCAGTCAAACCTGGCTTTTGCCTTCACCATTGGGGAAGTTCCACAGGAAGAACCCAGCACTCTGGCTGAAGCTAGGACCAGACATGATGCCAAACAGTGGGAGGCGGCTGTCAAAGCAGAATATGACTCTCTGATGGAGAATCAGACATGGGACTTAGTCAAACTACCACCAGGAAGATCCACAGTTGGCTGCAAGTGGGTTTTCAAGCTGAAACTCAAGTCAGATGGCTCTGTAGAGCGCTACAAGGCCAGACTGGTAGCCAAAGGATACTCCCAAGTTGAAGGACTGGACTACAAGGAGACATTTGCCCCAGTAGTCAAGTTTGCAACCATCAGGATGGTCCTGACACTAGCAGCCATGAAGGACATGGAGATTCACCAAATGGATGTCAAAACAGCATTCTTGAATGGGACCATTGAGGAGGACATCTACATGGACCAACCAGAAGGCTTCACCACGGCAAATGGGCTTGTCTGCAAGCTGAAGAAGAGTTTGTACGGGCTAAAGCAAGCTCCAAGAGCCTGGAACAAAGTCATTGACGGGCAACTCAAAGAACTTGGCTTTGAAAGGTGTGAATCAGACCACGGGCTGTACATCAACAAGAAGATGGGCATCCACCTTATCCTGTATGTGGATGACCTTATTCTGGCATCAAAGGACGACCAGGAGTTGTTAAAACTCAAAGAAGAACTCAAGAAGCAGTTCAAGATGGCTGATATGGGCCAGTTAGAGCATTTTCTCGGCATTCAAGTGGTCAGGGACAGAGCCAACAGGTCAATCTGGCTCTCCCAACAGCGGTACCTCGGTCAAACATTGAAGAAATTCAACATGAGTAACAGCAAACCAGTTGCCACACCACTAGAGAATGGCCACAAGCTCACCAAGGCCATGTCACCACAAACTGAGGCAGAACAGCAAGAAATGAATGGGGTTCCTTTCAGAAGTGCTGTTGGAAGTCTCATTTATGCAATGCTGGGCACCAGACCAGACATAGCAGCGGCAGTTGGATCAGTCAGCCAGTACCTTTCCAACCCCGGACATCAGCACTGGATAGCAGTCAAACGGATCATGCGGTACCTGAATGGCACCACAGACCTAGGACTTCAACTGGGCGGCATTCAGAGCGAGTGGGAGCTATCTGCATACTCTGATGCAGATTGGGGCGGTGATTTGGACTTCAGGAAGTCTACCACTGGCTTCTTAGTCAAGATTGGCAGCAGCACAGTCAGCTGGCAAAGCAAGAGGCAACCTACAGTCGCCCTATCATCAACAGAGTCAGAGTACATGGCTCTTTGTCAAGCTACCAAGGAAGTTATCTGGTTCAGAACACTTCTAGGCGAGCTAGGACATCAGCAAAGTGGTCCTACAACATTGTATGGTGACAATCAGGGTGCCATAGCACTTGCCAACAACCCAACACATCATGCAAGGACCAAACACATTGATGTGTGGCACCACTTCATCAGACAAGCAGTAGAAGACAAGAAAATCAGCCTCAAGTACTGTCAGACAGAAGAAATGACGGCTGACATTCTCACCAAGGCCTTACCCAAGACAAAACACCTTAAACTTTGTGGTAAAATGGGTCTCTGTCGGAAATCAGATGATTCACTGAGTGGGAGTGTTGAGATTCAGGCTTAAACCACGCTGTATGATCTATAAATCATGTGAGATCATGCTGGGATGTCATTAGACAGTTCACATCTGATCTGGCTAAGTTACAACGTGGGGAATTGGACTTAGAGTAATCAGAATGATCACAGACGCGCGTGGGAATGATTTAAAGGGGTAAATCATCATGTAAGCACTCTTAGAAGGTCTGGAAGGTTTGTGACGATCTAGATCTTCAGGTAATGTTTGCCAAGGCATGGCTGAAATTGCTGAGCACGGCTGAGCATGTAAACAAGTGGGCTGAAGCATGTAAACAGTAAACAAAGGCGGAGGGAGGCTGGAGAATGTACTGGGTTATATAAAGGGGACTTTTGCACGTCTCTGAATTAATGCAAGCATGTTATCCCACAAGTTACTGCACCCAGAAGTCTTACTAGTGGCCACAGGCATTACTAGACCTTTCAGAAGTGATTTCTACATGGGAAATCAGAGTTCCAAGGGCTAAGTTCAATAGGTCATGAGCCCTGATTGCTATCACTGATATTTTCCTGCTTCAAATCTCTTTCCTGATGGCCACACCACCTTCCTGACGGACCGGACCTATCCTCTTCCCAGGATCATGTTTGGACCACTTACCACACCAGGATGATTTCACCTCTTCCCCAATGGCAAATCCATTCACCAAATCAGCTCAGACATGTCAAACACGGACTTGGACACCAAACTCATGCTGGAAAAGTTCAATGGTGAGAACTACCACCTCTGGAAGTTCAAAATGATGATGTTGCTAAAGGAAAAGTGGCTGTGGGGTGTGATTGAGGGGGATCAGAGCATGGAGGGAACCTCTGAGAAGGATTGGAGGAGAAAGGATGAGCAGGCAATGGCTGTAATTGCTCTGTCACTGAGTGATGCCCAACTCATGCATGTCCAGATGGCTGGGACTGCAAGGGAGGCCTGGTTAAAGCTCAGTGACATCCACCAAAGGAAAGGAATTGCCAGTAGGCTCTATCTAAGGAGGAAATTTCTCACTCTGAAGATGGAAGACGGCGCTGGGGGCATGTTGGGACACATAAACACAGTCAGGACAATGGCTCAGCAGTTGGAGGCCATTGGGGCGCCAGTCAGTGAAGAAGACCAAGTCATCACCCTACTCTACAGCCTACCAGAGAGTTATGAACAGCTGGTGGTGTCTTTGGAGGCCAGGAGTGATTCTCTGATGCTGGAATTCCTCACATCATGGCTTTTGCATGAAGAAACATGCAGGAAGGAAGCTGGGAGTGAAGGAGATAGCAAAGGGAAGGCCACTGGGAGAGTGGTGGATTGCAAAGCCAACTCAGTCAAACCTGGCTTTTGCCTTCACCATTGGGGAAGTTCCACAGGAAGAACCCAGCACTCTGGCTGAAGCTAGGACCAGACATGATGCCAAACAGTGGGAGGCAGCTGTCAAAGCAGAGTATGACTCCCTGATGGAGAATCAGATGTGGGACTTGTTGAGATTCAGGCTTAAACCACGCTGTATGATCTATAAATCATGTGAGATCATGCTGAAATACCACTAGACAGTTCACATCTGATTTGGCTAAGTTACAATGTGGGAAATGGACTTAGAGTGTGTGGGAGTGATTTAAAGGGGTAAACCATCATGTAAGCAGTCTTAGAAGGTCTGGAAGGTTTGTGATGGTCTAGATCTTCAGGTAATGTTTGCCAAGGCATGGCTGAAGCTGCTGAGCATTGCTGAGCATGGCTGAGCATGTAAACAAGTGGGCTGAAGCATGTAAACAGTAAACAAAGGTGGAGGGAGGCTGAAGGATGTACTGGGTTATATAAAGGGGACTTTTGAACATCTCTGGAATAATACATAAGTTACACATTGCAATACTTGCAGAGTGGCTATAGTAACAGTCCACAGCCAATAATGTAACTGGATAAATGCAGTTTGTAGCAAGGCTGTGCCATGTCTCATTACAGTTAGGTTCCTTTGAGTCAGGCCCCATAAGGGTGAGCTAATCTGTAGTATAGTATAAGTCTATTCTGTGTAGGACACTAAGGGAATATACTAGCTAGCAGCACAAAAGTA